TGACTCGCAAGAATGCCCTCTGGAGGGGGTCTGGGGAACGGAAGAAGTGGACATAATCAATCAAAAGATAAGAGAAAGAGGCGAAATTCCGATGGAGGGGATGGCTTCGGGGGGTAATTATGAGTCTGAGAGGGAAAATCAAAAGCCGTCCAATTAGATCACGAGCGAGTGTTCCCACAAAATCACGAGCCGCCCAAGAAAACGAGCCGTCCAATTAGATCACGAGCGAGCGTTACGAGCCGTCCAATTAGATCACGAGCGAGCGTTTCCACAAAATCACGAGCCGCCCAAGAAAATCACGAGCCGTAAAATGAGGAGCCGTCCAATTAGATCACCAGTGGTGACAGCACACCAATGTTCTGTCTATGCACACCAAATTAGAAAAAACAAATTAAAATAAAAGCAAAACAAGCAAAGAATAGAAATGCCTTGGGGGCCTTTGAGAGTATAAAAAGAGAAAGACTCACATTCCATAATGGACTGTGTTAGCAAATTCTACCCAAAAAAATAAAACAAAATTAGTCTCACTGTTAACTCACATATTGAGGGGTAGAAGACCAAAAAAAGAGAATACTCACAAATTATTAAAATGAATAGGTGGAGGTGTGATGGTGGTGAGAGGGTGGGGTGTGATGGGTGTGAGGAGAGGTGGTGTGATGGTTCAGTGAAGTTTTACCCAAAAAAATAAACAAATTAGCTCACTGTTAACTCACATATTGAGAGTAGAAGACCAAAAAAGAGAATACTCACAAATTATTAAAATGAATAGGTGGAGGTGTGATGATGGTGAGAGGGTGGGGTGTGATGGGTGTGATGGTTCAGTGAAGATTGAGTGATGGTTGTGTGGTGGAGCTGAGCTTGTGAGTGGTGGAGGCTGAGCTTGAGCTGTGATAGTTGGGAGAGGAACTGTATATGAACTTGAAGGAGACTTGGTGATGGTATAATTGTGAGAGGGTGTGAATCTGAAGCAGAGTTGGGGGGGGGGGTAGCTGGTGGAGGCTGGTGATGGTGGTGAAGGCCAGTTGAACTTGGGGGGGAGGTGCACTGGAGCGGTGTTTTTGGGTGTTCGGACGAGCTGACGACTCGATATCGGTCCTCGTGAAGGGAGAAAGTGTTTTCGCTTGATTCCGATTGGATCGGTACCTGCGATTCGGAATCGAACAACAATAAGAACGAGGCAGTTAGATTCAGGCTAGCCGGTTGGTCCACTCCGATTGATAACCGCCCTAGTCAACGACCATTGAGGGGAGTACGTAGGAATCGATTCCAAGCGGTCTAAATTGATCCCTATCGAGTTCAGGAATCGAGTGTCCAAAGCCAATTCCGGTGGCGAGTCCAACTCCGAGCGACGAGTCCAACGAATTGATGTCGTGTTCAACTTGGGTTGAACGTGGCGCTTGAACTTGAAGTTGGACTCGGAGTCGGAGTGACTCGTGGACTGGAGTCAACTTCAGGACCGGAGTCACAACCGAGGTTCAGGCAATGCCTGCCAATAATATCGGCATCGCCTGCAAGATATCGGGCATCGCATCGGGAAATCGATGCGATGCCGATTCTCCGCATCGGTTTTTCCGATGCGGACGATGCGATGCGGGGCCCCGCATTGCTCACACCAATGCGATGCGATAAACGCTCGATACGATGCAATGCCAATGCACACATCACATCCGTTTCATCGTTGATAACAGTGAATACAGGCTTTTTTAGCCATTACAGCATGCTGTATTGAGCTGTAAGACATTTTAAATTGTCAAAAAGTTGATCTTTTTCTATGAAGATAACAAAAAAAAGAAAAATTGATGGGCTGAAATGTTGCACTGTGACACATCATCCCACTATTGTTTGTTCCAGCCCAGAGGGCCCTCCAGGAGCATCCATATTGGTGGCATTTTCTGACCAAGCTAAGTAATTCAGCCACCAATTTCTAGCTCACTGGGTTGAGCTAACTCCAAGCTAACTTAGCTCATGACAAAACTTTCAGCTAATCATTGCTATAGGTAGCAACAGTCAACTTTCTGGCTAGCCAAGAGCTAACCATTACCTCTACTTGAGTTTGAAAGCTTCATGCAAACACAACACACCTCTTGACTAATGTAGCTACTGTTAGTGTTGAAATTTTGGACTCAAGAAGAGCAGACTTTGAGGAATTTGGGAAAATGGCTCAAAAAAGGCTGATCAGGGTCTTTTTTGGGAAAGGCTTGCGGAAAATGAGTGAAAGAACCAATAATTTTCATTCACAAGTAGATAGCTGGTTTAAATAGACTAAATACATGCGATCAAATTGTGGTTGAGGCAAATTGAATAAAAAAGGAATTTTGAATAAAAACTAAGTGATAGAATAATTTGAAGTCTTGGAAGAAACAATCCCAGCCGGTGTGGTCATTATTCCTGTGTATGAAGGGAGAAAATTCAAAATTTTATTATTTATCAATGAAGAACTCAAGATATGGAAAAATGGACATCAGAAATGGGATCTACGGCCAATTTAACCCCTATTCTGTCAGCCTTAGAGCCATCCAAGCTGGCCAAAAGACTGCTTAAGTCCTCCTTGTTCACTCAAGTCCCTACTATAATGTTTTCACATTAATCTTCTAAGATGCATAAGATTCAACAAAAAAACCAGCTATGAAAAACTATAATTCAGTCTATTTCAAGATGATTCAAGAAAGGTACAAGAGAGCAAGAAAGGTGAAGAAAGGAGTGATTTTGGGGAAGAGTAGACCAGAGAAGCTGAAAACTCAAAAGTTAGAAATCACTGTAATTCCAAAATTGCATTGTTTTAGTTGGAATTTCAGTCTCTCATTTCCCTTCTCTGATCTGCTGCTTTTTCCTCATACCAGATTGGATATCCAGTTCTTCTCATGTCACACAACTTGTCCCTCTTTGATGTAAAAGGCTATATAGAAGAGCTTCATAGATACAAAATGAAAGTGCACAATTGGGGGTCTCTATTCCATTCATCCTCTTGTAGTGTGGGTGCCTTTTACACAATGCAAGCTAGCAGACCTCTTGGCTCTCAAAGAGGGATCTTTGAACTTGTTGCAACTATCGAACTTATCACAAGTCTCCAGCTGCGGCGGGCGCATCTGGCAGCGTAGCGCTGGCCAGGCGGTTCCCGAAGGGAACTCCCCGCAGGGGAGACTTGGGCCAGAGGTCACCAAACTCAGGTGCTGAGTTTGGATTGTTTTGGTGGGAGTGTCACAAGATTTTCAATCATGACGCTCCCTCAAAGGGTTATGGATGTTTGGCCCGGAATTCTTGAAGGGCTAGATGATCCTATTGATCCAGCCCAAACTCAGAAGTTGTACACCACAACTGGAATTAAAATTGATTTTCTAAAAGTAAGATTTGAACTTTTTTTGAGCTCAAATGCGGGGTTTGCTCAACTTGGGCCCACCAAAATAAGTCAACCTGAGTTGAAAAGTCGATGTTTTCAAAACCTTTCTGTAAATGATTAACAAAAAAATAAAAAAAAAAACTGAACACAGGGAAATGTGGACAAGAAGCAGACCCTTCTTGGTCCACAAGGAAATTGTATAAATGTGGATGAAGAAGAGTGTAGTCAGAAAAATACACAAAAAATGGGTTTCAAGCCCAATTTTGAAAACTCACCACGCGGGGATCACCACATCTGTTCTAGGCCTCCACTGGCGTGGAAAGCTCCGCTGCTTGCTCCCGCTCCCGCCGTGGAGGCCTAGTTAGGCTCGTGCTACTATGCGCCTTTTGTATTGAATTTTTCTTTATGATCACTCTTGCCTTTTTTCCTCAGTGCAGTTGTGAAATATCATGGGTCTTAGCACTGAGGAATTATTTTAGGCTAGTCTCTACTGGGTCTTTGGGACTTCATTATTAAAAATGATTACTTTGGTCATGAGTCATTCTATACAAAAAATGAAACCCAGGGGAGGGGTGTGTTCTTGAAATCATTTTGTCCTAGAGCACCCACCCCTGTCTCTGTAAAACAGCCTTGTAAGCAGGATTTACAGAGGATTTAAGCATATACATGCCCTTGTGCACTCTCTGTTGCCTTGTCTCAACTCAGCAACTCTTTTAAAACTTGTCCAGTTAGGAAACCCTAGCAACCCTCTTTAAGCTTAACTTGTGGAGAGGCTATACAGCCTACCTACATCACATGTGTATCTCCTTCCAGATTTCCTCAAGAACTTTCATATTCCTTGTCAGCATCACCTACATACATGCACAATCAGACAATACTCTCATCCAAAAGAAATCTTACATCACCTTCCATAATTTCAGGGAAGTGGGGCAGTACCCAGGTACCACCAGTTTTTTGCCCGTAAGCAGACACTGGTGCAGTTGGTACCCCTAATCGGTGCCAGGTACCTAGCAACAATAAACAATCTCTAGTGCAGTCCCTTGAATTCAACTTGCAGAAGGAATAATACAGAAGCTGCCCTCATGTTGGAGATCAGGTAAGATGGAAGACCATATTCCTTACACAATTAGCCCTATTGGTCATTAAAACCAGAAATCCTTCTCCCTTCTTTGACAGTAAACTCTTAAGTTACTGCTTTCCAATTCTGTTTCAGCATTCCCAATATGGAAACAGAGAAACAGTTACGTCATAGCATCAATCAGTTCTCATTTCTCAAAAAGTATACTAGAAGGTCAAGTGCTATACAGGGTACTAAGATCAGAAAACTTATACAGCAGTGTAGCATGATCAGCTCAAGTTAAAAGGAGAGATCAAAGGATCATAGTAGTTTTCTTTCAGATGATCATAGTAACAAGTGGATCAGGTGTAATCAAGAATCTTTGGGGAAGCTCTAGTATCTTGAGACATCTCTCATTGAGAATTTAGAGGTTTGGAATCAATAAATTGGTCATCTCAGTTGATAATGGTGACATCTTACATGGTCCATAGCTATGCAAATTCATCTGGCAAGGAAAATCAGTCAAAGTTAAACCCTCTCTTACATTTGTGAAAATCCTTCAGATGGTCTGGGATGTTATACTTGCGCAAACCGTATTATTCTTTTTTATTTTGGATAATTTGAAAATAGGATGACATTGATTGCTGAGAATTGAAAGAAGTGAACAAACACAAAAATATGGGTAGATGAAATGGTAAAAAAAGGCGAATGTGAGGAGAGAACTGAGCCGACACACTTGACGGAATGTGTCATCTTCTCTACCCTGTTGTATCGCTCTCTGTCAGTGTCATATACATAGATTGCAAGATACATTTGTGCATCCTTCCTTTATCTACCACGCGAGTCTCTGTTTCTTGCTCAATCAGTAGTATGAAAGATATGAAGAAAGACGCGACTGTCCTTAATCATTTCCCATGATGATGGATTTTTGGTTTTGGTTATTTATCGTTTGGTATTTTAGTACAATTTTCAAAGGCAGCAGCAAGTATCATAACAGAGTCAGTTTGGGTGGGCATGAAATGGAGGAGTGATGGGAGCACGGCGTCACTCCTGAGTCCTGGACGAGGAGACCGTCCTATTTCTTCTTTTTTCCTTTCTTCTTCTTGGAGACTGGGGGATGTTTAGCGGCTTCCTTGGTGGTAGTCGAAATGGGGACCGAGCCTGAAGTTGAAGCAGGAACCTTTGCCTTGTTTTCCGTGGAGGTCTTGGAGGCTACCTCGGGCTCATTGATGGTCTTGACGTTTTGCATCTGCTGGATCATCGCCCGGGTCATGAGCTCGAACCGGTTCAGATAGACGGCCGATCTAGTCTTGAATTTCAGACACTGTTTTCCGCTGATGGTCAGCAATCGAGCGACAGGCGTTTGTGCTGAGAGTCTGGGGGATATCCTCACTTTGTTATCGTCTGTTACCTTCAGTACCAGGAGACCCAGTTCGTGACGCCATTTGGTGCAATATCGGGTCTGATGACCAACAAGCTCATCGAGTCAGCATCATAACATCTTGAGATTTGGTTGGATTGGATCCATTTGCGAATGATGAGATGAACATACCTTGACTGGCGAAGCCTCGTATAGCTTGTTGGATTCGGAAACAAAGCTGTCCCAGTTTCTGAAGTAAACCATATTACCTCGATCGATGCAGCCCGTTCGGCTTTTCCAATATTGATTGAGAGTCTTCGGGGAATGGTTCTTTGGAAAAGAGTATCGTTGCTAAGTGGGATTGGTCATTGGTAGGTAGAAGTTCTCCCGATAAGGTTCGATTGGGGGCATTCCGGCTGACCTTTCACAGGTTTCCGGCCGTTAATCTGTGACATCTCTGCTTAGTCCCAGTTTTTCTCAGATCAGGAAGTCTGGCGATACACAGCAATAGAAGAAAAAGACCATCGAGCTCATTGGGACAAGAAGAAGGCTTGCAACAGATGGCTATCATCCTCAAGAAGCTGGTCGACCTGACCTCGGTCTCCATCGGAATGGCAAGGATCCTTCAGACGGCCCTCAGGATGCAAACCACCTCAGAGTCAAAGAGCCTGTCCAGGGGATCTACCAAGCCTCCCTCAAGACCATCATCAGTTCAGTGGTTGGAGTTATCTACCGGCGCTTGATCAGTTTCCATCTTGTGTTTGGTGTTTGGTCATTCTTCTCTTACCCAAAAGGCATGGTATCAGAGACTAACAACATCTGGATTCTGTTTCTTTGGGTCTATTATCCATCTATTGCAGAGTGTCAAGACAAATTTTCGATCAGCGGACGCAACTCCAGAGCACAAGAGCTTGATCAATCAACACAGATCATTCAGTAGCTTCACTGCCACAAGGAATACCCATGCCGGAAGGGATCCCAACCTGGGACCCTCAAAGCCAATCAAAAAACCTGGTCTTGAATCTTACTCGGACCCAAAAAATGAGGTGGTTAGTACTTTATCTGACGTGGGCGCCTCATATGATAGTATATTGACTAACCTCTGGTTGGCCTGTGTTTACAGGATGGACAAAGTCCTCTTCGAGCCTCTCGCGTGCCTTCTTCCCGTCTGGGCAGATTATTCCACTATGGAGGTCAATATCAAATTGTTCTCCGCATTTATCCCCTACGTCCTCCTGCGCTGTCTGATCTGAAAGATTGTATCCCACAGGACTGGCCGCAGGCATCGGTTGGGGCACGGCCTCGGAAGCGTTAAGACGGACGGCCTCTGGCCCACAAAATAATTCGTATCCGCTGGCTTTGTCGGAAGCTAACGTCCGGCGCCTCGTCGACAAGCTGACTAAAATGCGAGGCGCTGCCCTCAAGCTCGGCCAGTTCTTGGCTATCCAAGGTTGTCCCTATTGATCTCTTATATTCATCGTCGCACTGCTTACCAAGTTTGCTGACTTATGGCTCCTTTGTTCCTATTTGTTTTTTAAGTAAACAGATGCCAAGATCTTGCCGCCGCAAATTGAGGAAGTATTTGTCAAGGTTCAGTGTACTGCTGATTACATGCCATTTGACCAAGCAAGGGTGAGAGTGACCTTATTCCATCAAGTTTCCACTTAAACGTGTAAAGCTTTCTCTGTATTGATTTCGCAAAACATACGCAAACACACAGAATGTTCTGAATGAAGCTCTGGGAAGTGATTGGTCGCAAAAATTCAATAGCTTTACTGAAATCCCGGTGGCCGCGGCTTCGATAGGTCAAGTCCATGCTGCCAGCGTTACGAATGGGGAGAAAGGGCCGGTCAGAGCTGCGGTGAAAGTGCAATTTCCAGGGGTATACGAGTCGATTCAGAGCGACTTATCTTACCTGAGTGTGCTTGCCGGTACCACTTCGATCCTACCCAAAGGGCTATTCTTGTCCAAGTCGATCGAGGTCCTAGGCCAGGAGCTCAAAGATGAGTGTGATTATACCCGAGAGGCCCGGTATGGAAAACGGATGCGTGAATATTTGAAGGACGATCCCAGGTTCGCGGTGCCTATGATCTTCGATCACTTGAGTACCAAGATGGTCTTGACCACTGAGTTCATGTCAGGCACCTCACTCAGACACGCCGCCAAATGGTCACAAGCCTTGCGAAATAAAGTAATCTCGCGTTGACTTCTATGACTGACTGTGTCACTTCGATCGGCTAACCCAGTTCCAGCGCGTCTTTATTTCTTAACCGAACCTACGCTTAGATCGGTCACGATGTCCTCGAACTCTGTTTTAGGGAAATCCTGCACTTTCGCCTTATGCAAACCGATCCCAATTGGAGCAACTTCCTGTGGAATGAAGAAACACAACAGGTCAGTTGATCAAGATTTATTTGGCTTTGAAAATACAAAAAATAATAATAATAATGTGGATACTTGGTGAAAGCAAAGGGTTGTGTGAATCCGAGTTTACGCGTTGTTTAGCCAATGACTGACTAACCTGAGTATGTTTTTTGTTCAACGCGACTTCACTCCCTTGTGGGGCATAAATAACAGATCGAATTGATCGACTTTGGAGCCACACGTGAATATAGTGAAAGGTTCATAGATGGATACCTCAAGCTGCTGAAAGCGGGGATCGATGGGAGTCGTGCGGATTGTATAGAGGCATCTATCGCGCTAGGATATTTGACTGGTGATGAATGCGAAGTGAGTACTCAGGTGGATGATCGGACTGTGTAATGTTCTGGCGCCCATTCACATGGGATGTTGCAAGCCAAAATTCTTCTGTTAAGGATGCGTCGAAGAGCTGATTTGTTTTTGGATCAAAATTTCATAAATGACTTGGATGCGCGCGCAGACGATGCTAGATTCGCAGTACAAGAGTGTGAAAGCCCTTGGAGAACCTTTTCGGGGGACAAGCCAGCAGCCCTACGACTTCGCCCAACAAACTGTCACCGACCGAGTCCGTTCGGAAATCCCGACCATTGTTCGGTTACGGTTGACGCCACCACCTATAGAAACATACAGCTTGAATAGAAAGTTAAGCGGAATGTTTTTGCTATGCAATCGTCTAGGCTCGCAGATCGACTGTCATACGATCCTCGACAACCTCCTGCATCAAAAAAATTCCGGCTCTTGGGGTCGTCATCTTTCCGATTCTCCCACCACAACTTGAGTCCAATCCTATTTTACTTCATCTACCTTATTGATCGATAATCCGTCGTAGCCTATTTTCTTAATGACGACATCGCAAGTTCGCCTTCGAGCACTTTCCTCGCACCAGCCGGATATGTTTTCTACCTATAAACCGCTTAAGAATTCATTAGTTTCGAGCCTTTGTATAGGTTTTCTTTTTTTGTTCTTAACATCCACAAGACGGTTGTATGTATGGTTTAGTACAGCTTGACAAGTAATACGATTTCTAGTTTGTGCATGTGTGCTGACAGTGACAACATCGCTAGTGTGCGCTAAATTCCAGGACGGCTTGAGCTGGCTGGTATACATACTGTAAGCTTCGCTAACTGGTATGTCTTAATGTGTTTATTTGAGACGACTTTCGAGGGTAGAAAGAAGAAGTTGACTATGCAAAGGTAAGTCACCAGCTAGAACCGATGGGGTTCATGGGATTATTGGGGCTTGTGTGTCGCATTACAGGAGGTTATAGTACACTCATGCAAAGGAATTCTATGGCTGATGCAAGAGGGATTTTACCAAACGTTAATAGTATTTGCGATGCTAACATTAGTGAAGAGAGGTGGAACAGAAAATCGTCCTGTCCGTACTCGGGCTTCGTTGAACGAGGTTCTCTTCACAGGTACCCGTCTCAGGCTCTGGATGCAATACAAATAGAGGTCCATGTCCTTGGATTGAATCCTCCTCATCTCATCTTCCCAGATATCCGCACTTGACAAGTATCCTCAGCTCAACATTTCCTTGAATCGTCATTAGACTTGAATACAAAAGCAGGAATACTTACTACTTAACCACCCAGACCTCAACATGAATTCTCTTCCAGTTGAAGTCGTAACTTCAATTTTAAATCATCTTAATGTAGGCGAAGATCATGACTGTGACCACCCAAGCTCCTCCGCCTACTGGTCCGTCCCTCTCCAGACTCAGGCGGTATTCTGGGAGAGGCGTGTCGCTGCAGACAGGACCGCATGGAACTTGGGGGTCGAGTTCCGGACGATTTCTCGAAAGTTCAATAATGCCATGTCGGCCCGGATGAATCAATCCGTTATCCTTGCCGGTCCGACGAACGCCGCCTTTGTCCCGCGAAGTCATCTCCCCACTTCGCCATGCAAGCGGCTCAAAATTTACTCCACCAGCGGCTGCTCCCAGGGACTGCAGTTGCTGAGGGATAACAGCGCCACGATCAAGTCGTTCTTCGTCGAGATGGGCCGTGCCCCGTCTACGGCGCAGTGGCCAAATCCCTTGCCGCCCCTGGATCTCCGATCCACCTCATTCCCCCTCCTAACTTCATTTACCTTCCGAACAAACGCTGGCTGCGAATGGCTCAGATTCGACACTCTAGTCGAACTCCTACGCAACTCGCCCTGCCTGAAACATTTGACGGTGTTTCAATTGTTAGGTTCACCAGACGGCGCGGAAAGCATGGAGGGATTCCGGCCTCGGGGGGAGCCGGCTTGCCAATTGGTCTCCCTCCATGTGCGAAGAGCCTGGGCGCTGCATCCGGAAAATCTGCAGTTCATCGTGGCCAAGTCGCACAGCAGTCTCCGGCAGCTCACTTGGGTCCTCGAGGAGTATGTGACAAGCAGAGAGCCGAGAGAATATACCAATCTTGGCCGAAAGTATGAAGCCTATACCTTCTTTCACGCTTTCAAGCGATGCAGACAGATCGAAACCCTCCGGATAGCAGACCTGGTAAGGGACGAAGTGCCGCCGAGAAATATAAGGCGAGAAGCGTTCAATTGGAGTTCTTACATGGGGAAAGTTCTCAATAGCATGATGCCCCACTTGGCACATCTTCAGCATCTTGAGGTTTGCGGCACGATCCGGTTACCACTCTTGCATGCTTGGGATCAGAATGTGCTTCCGTTCCATCTGAAGTCCCTTTTTATCGACCGGCATTTCGGATACTGTTTTGGAGGTCTGATCCGCCAGTTGGAGCGAGCTGAGGGACCGCTCAGCAGACTCGAGAAGCTTTCAATCGACGAACAAGTCGAAATCGATTGCCCGGCGGTTCAATGGCATGCTATGCGAGCCCTCTGTGAACGCCGAGGAGTCGAATTCAGAATCCATAGGGATGACTTATCCCGGAACTAATTCCACTTCCGGCGGCATACATTCTCGTTTCTCGGCCCCGTCCTTCCTCTTTTTGCTTCCGGGCTCACTCCAATTCTCGCCTGCCTTTCTCTCCAGCATCCTTTCCTGTCCCCTCTCGCTCTCCGCATTCTTCCGCTTCCTTTCCTTTCCCCCCCCCCCCCCTCGCTCTTCGCATTCTTCAGCATCCTTTCCTCTCTCCTCAAATCCAGTCCACAACACATATAGATGTCGGCTGGTGATGCAAATCATAGATACTAGTGTACAACAAAACACCTTCACAATTCTTTGGATCCTCATATTGAAGGCCAACTTTGTTCTGTACAACATTATCAATTCTTTCCCCTAACCTCGCTCCCGTTTTCGTTTTTCTATTTTTTTCTTTTTGCCTTACCTTTTGTAACCCTTCATCAGCACCGAGTGCACACATCTTCCACCTCCAAAGATTCATGGTTGGTCACCTCATTAACTTCTCTGGCCCTTCTGCAACACTTTCAATTTTTTTTACCTCGTTTTTACGCTCTCCTTGCCTCCCTCAATCTTTCTTCCCTTCCTCGTCGTTTCCTTGGTTGTTCTCTTGTTTGTTTCTAATAGATTTTCTCGTCCACCTTTGCCTCGTTTTTATTATCTCCTCGCCTACCTCAATCTTTGTTCCTTTCCTCGCCGTTTCCTTGGCTTTTCTCCGGTCTTTACAATTAGATTTCCTCGTTTTTTTGTCTCTCGTCTCATTTCCTTTTTTTATTACCTCTGTCGAACTGCTCTCCTCTTCTTGAAATGTGTTACGTCGTTTTCCCTCGGCTTCAATATGTTGTATTATGTAGCCTATGCTGTACGATACCATGAATCTTACCAGCGCATGAATAACATCTCAATTTGCTTGTTGCAGATCAGCATTTCGGCGTTCCATGGAGGTTATTACTCAAAACCAATCCAGGATCACTTAAGAGCTCAATGACTAAAATGTGCGCTGAGTTTGTGGCTGTGTAGAATGCTTACATTGAAAATGAATTTTCTCTTTCATTTTGATTCAATGAGCCTCACACCCTTGTACAAAGGATAGGATGACCCATATGCTATGAAGAGTAGAAGTCCAAACTCTTCTTATTGATTTCTCAATGAATACTAATGCGCACTTTGAACTAAGGGCCTGTACCATAGGGTTCAATTTTCAAAAATGGACATTTTTTTCCATCCTCTACACAAAAACTGGGAACAATTGGAGAGATCTGGTGTTGACATTCTTCACTTTCATACCAAAGACTACCTTCTAGTTATGGTCAATTTTGATAATCTAAAATTTTGAGCAAGATAAATTCTGAGAAATTGAATTTTCATGTCCTATGGTACAGGCCCTAATTTACATTGTAACAAGTTCTTCTTGCTATCTGCTGGAGTAAAAGCAATGGGCAGGGAGTATATTGATCCCTTTGTTTCATCACTGATCATCCAACCTGGATAAAAGCCCAAATCTGATGGGAATCTCTGGACTCGGGGGATTTCCCATGGGCTCCCATCTCTTTATTATGCCTGTGTATAAGAAATCAATCTCAATTTTCCTTTTCCACCCAATGAAGTTGAGCATTTAGAGTTTTAGCTTCCTGATCAGGAAAAACTACTCCAGTGTTGCACTCAGCTATAGAGATTTGGGGAAAGGAAACATTGAAAGAAGTGACTCTGTCAAGTATTCTCAAAGAAAAAGTATATAATTAGGAATGTCATATAAATACAGCAAACTGAAAAAATGATGTCAATTGGTATATAGGGTTGATGCTCTTCAAAAATTTAAAAAGAGTTATGACAGTTTCTAAATCATGGTAAAGAATGTGCTCAGGAATTATTCAGAAAAAGAGGCAATTGTATATTACTAGAGACAACTGGCAGAATGCCACTAAACTTCCTCAACAATCTTTGTTCTCCAGCTGGTTATTCCCCATCCCATATTTAATGTTCTGGATTATTATTAGTTTGAGTAGTGTGCACAGGATTACTCTGAGATGTACAGTTGGCTGAGCTGACCTGGAGAATTTTTGGAGACATTCCTAAGCAATGAGTTCATTCCACACACACACCAAATCAAGTAAATCACCAAAAGACACAAACAAGATGTATATGTATACACATATTTCAAGATAGCCACAGAAAGACATGTATTTAATGGATTGCACTGATCACGGATTTAAGAATTTTGAGCCGCTACTTATAACGACATTTGTGTGTCCTACAGTGCTTCCCGCCATTAGACTATAAAATATAAACAATGAAAAAAATATAGAGGATGTGATCACAGAAGAACATGACGATAGCAGAAAGGAAGAAAAGAGCATTCAAGAAATATTGGATCAAGCATGAAAGAAACTCCCAAGATATGACATACCAAAGAAAAAAAAATAATGAGGAAGTAGTAAAGTAATTTTAACAACCTCTTGAGCTATTGCAGATAATCATACTGTTCATACATCTTGTATCAATTTTGGAAGCTATTTTTTTCAAACATAAAAATGGAAATATCATAGCATGAGGATACAGATTAAAGCGGAAACTGTAACAAATTTATCTGATGAGGAAGAAGCAAAGAAGCCATGAATCCGGAGGCAGAGGCGGAGGAAGGGTTAAGTGGTTTGTGTGTATGATCAGTTCTCATGTTACGTATTGAGTTAATTGTCACAGAAAGTGGGGACAAGGAAAGAAAACGACAGTTGTAACGAAGCTGCAGAATAGTATATGTATCATGCTCGAGATTTGTTCTTTTTTAAATGTCCAATTTATTTCCGTTTTTTTTACATATTCAACAAATCCAACTGATTACTCATTGGGGAAGATATCAAAGACAGCGGCGAAGTCGAAGAAGGCGGGTTGATTGCGGACGAAGCAGAAGCAGGTGATGTCGGAGAGCAGGGTAGGGGTGAATTTAGGTCCGAAGTCATGAGGGACGGACATAGAGTGATTTGGTTCAAGTGTTCGCTATTCATCAAGTGTCCGTGATGGTGTTGGTACAGATGACCTGGTTGTTCGAGTTGACCAGGATGTAGGTTGGATCGGTCCAGGTTCATACTGGTTTCCTGATTCGGGAGTTCATGAGTTGAATGGTGAGTATTTTCAACAAAGTGTCCGTTAAGGAAAAGCTCTTGAGCTTGCGGCGATGACATAGACATTAGATGTAATTGAGATCGGTGTGGCGATAAGGATTGCTGGGATGTGAAGGAGTGACCGGCTGGCGGAGACGGAAGAAAGTTGTTACCATCGCCGGTGTAAACAACTCTATCATCTATCGACTCCTTCGAAGGATCCGGAGATATCAATGAAGATCCACAGGAACCTCCGTCTGGACTTTCAAAGATCTTCTCATTTACGAACCCGCTTATATCAAATCCACCAGGGAAAGTTTGTGGTCCAACATCTAACTCACGTAACCAGTCAGTGGTATCATTCATTGTTGTCCCTGCGCCGAAATCGTGCTCAAATTGACCCAAAGTGGGAGACTCGGTGATGCCGAAATTCCCTCCGGTTTCTACGTGATTGGTTCCAGGTTGAAGGGACAGTTTGGACGCGAGACTCTGGAAGAACTGACTTTCTGGGAATTGCCCTGTGGAAATACCACCGTAATCTAGATAGTCTGTAGACGTTGGTGAGTACATGCCAGCAGCATGCATATGATGTGGCATTGCTGTAAAATTGAAATTCGAGTCGACCAAGTGCAAATTCGACAACTGAGTTAAGTCCATCGAGCTTTGAGTCTTGTGGAGTGTTTTGCAGGGAGCTTTGGTGGGCACCGACACTAGGGAATGAAAAGCCTTCTCGCTCGAGCCAACAGACGCCGCGTCGAGCTCTTCCGTCGTCGTTGAGGCTACAATCTTGCGTGGTCGAGGGGTCGTGTCATTTGGGCGTGGGGTGGTGATGTTGGGCCGAGGGGTCATGTTGGTGAGATGGGGTGGTAAAGCCGGACTAAGGGTTGCAGCCAACATGAGCTGAGGGTGGTCCTGTGAACCGGCATCATCTCCAACAGACATCTCGGGATTTGAAAGCATCATGCCAAAGTCGGAGAATGCATCTGCACCATGCGCTTTGAGGAAATCCAATGAGGGGAGTTGATATTGGTTTGGGTGCAAGTGACTCGTTGCCCGGGAGGGGTGAGGTGGGTAGACTGATAAATCGATGGCCTCAAATGTCCCATGCTGCTCATTTGGGTCTGCCAAAAAATCAAGCACATTCGAGCCAGATGCCTTCCTTGACCGAGGTTTATAACCGGCAGCGATACTAGAACTGTTATGCATTAGTCTAAGAAAAAGCCCAATTTCTCTGGAGGAGATGGCGATTCGACTCACTAGAGGTCTGGGAATGCGTTCCGAAATCTGTCTCTCAAATCAGTAGCTTTCCGAGAAGCCAAGATCGGATCCCTTTGAATCGAGCTCCAAGCCGTGCCGAACTAAACGGGCCAGAAATCAGTGAGCTTGGATGTCCGTTGATTCGGAAATAACTTAAACCTCAAGAGAGGAGTATCATATCGATAGATTGGAAAAATACCTTTATATAGCCACGCTTCAAAGCTGCATCCTCTTCAGCACTAAATTGTTTCCGCTCGCGTCTGACCGCGTTCTCGCCAAATAATGGGTTACCATTGGAATCCACTGATCTCACTCTAGATGAGATATGAGTCTTGGCATTGGGATAATGTTTTCTATAAGCATCCGGAAAATAGGTTCTGCATCAAGGCAATTCAATCAATCAACTTGTCCACGCTTCTTTTTCCCTCTTCTGCATGAATATCAATCAGATTCATACTGAAGTGACAAAATAAGATGTTTTGCTCACCTGAATCGATCTTTCAAATCACCCGGGGAACGTTTGGATAATTCTGGCTCCGAATCTCGGATTGCCTTCCATTGTCCGATTGCGAACTTCGTTTTTTTTTTTAAAAAAAAAGAAAAGATGACAAATAAGCAACGGCAATTGTAAGGGAACTGAATTTACTTGTCGATGGCAATCAAAGTTAGGAAACCGACATTGTTACAGCCCCTGACAAGTGCCTGAGTCTCTTCGGTTGTCCATTTGTTTCTCTGTCCGTGAGTTTTCTTCCTGTTTTTGGTGCTAACAACTCTGCTATTGTTGACTTCTTTGCCACAACCAAAATCAACAAGTCATAGATTAGCTTCCACTAACTATCTGAGCACTAGACAAATGATACCACTATCATAATGGTATAGTAAACTTGAAATTCCGTACTTGACTTCCGTTGGAAATTGAAAGTTTCATCCTGAGAAGAAATCGATGTCACATCAGAATCCGATGATCTGATCCTGTCTGAATTACATTGAACCACTCTACGCGTCAAGTAAGTGTTATTATCAGGACCGAAGAAGTACGAGTGATTGTTGGAGCTGGCTAATGAAATCGTGTTATGATCCAGGTAAACAGGCGAATTGGCTTCTCTTTTCAAGGAGCGTGTATGATGTGATAATGAAGACGATAAGGGGTTTGTTGGATTGCCGTTGTTGCCGCTTAAGATCTGCTGTTCGTGTCTCTGTTCGTCTTGTCTGCCTCCTTCCCGCGTCAGTTGCGGAAGCTCGTAATAGTGATCGGGCGTTGGCGCAGACGGATGAGGTAATAAGGCGTCATTTGCTGGTTCTGCCCTCAATGCAGAGAGCGATTGGGTCGGGGAAGTATTACTTCTCTGACGCCGATTGATGGTGTTGATCGGCGAAGTAATAGCTATTGGTAGATTCGGAATGTTGTTAAGTGACATAGTAAATCGAGCTAGTGCAGTTGTTAGTCGTGGGGGATCCTCTAGTACTTTTGAAGATTTTTCTGACTCGAGAACAATTCGTCTTTACGTTCTCCTTGCTCAATCTTCTAGACAGTGGTAGGAATTGAGGAATTAAGATTATCGCTTGATATAATGGAGGCCAGTCCGGCTGATGGGGGAGTACGTAAAATAACTGAGTACAACAGCGGAAGTCGAGATTCTGGAAGACACGAGACTCAGGAGATGGGGATGTCGTATGTCATAACTCAATTGATCTATTGAACTGAGAAGCGGGATAAGGGTTCTGAGGGCTCTTTCGTCAGAAGTGTTCTTCTTCTTCACTTTGATTGGACGAATACAGTTACACAAACGATGGTTGTTATATTTGATGTCAATAACCCCCTGAAAATATAACAAACAACTACTATGGCCTGCAAGTCCGAGGCTGAGGCAGACTGACGAGACTGAGGAAGCACTATCGACAGAGGAGGGAGGAGGGTGCTACTGGTTATCCTGAGTTATTCAAGGAGAGGCAACAGGATATGGTGCATACGATGGGGGAATTGTGCTAAAGAATACATAGAACACAGAATCGGCTCTCCCAAATAAAATCAAATAGAAGAACATTAATCCGAATAACCTATATCTCCTTACTATGTAAACCTATGGAAACGCTCAAAATCAGAAACAAAGGAACATTCAACAAAGGAGCATCCAAACATGCACTTGTGACTTGGGAAAAGAAAAGGGCCCAAAGTTAACCAAACACAATTTGCATAAAATTATACTCTGTCAGACATGATGTGTACCACATCTGAACACATATACACACCTGATAATGATGAGAAGCTCAAGAGTATCTTCAAAGTGATCTAAATAAAGTGGCATAATAAATGAAAGAGATACATATTTCTATATAGATATGTACACCTTATTTACACACATATAGAGCTCGATCGTATTGCGGTGCCGAAGGTAAATCGTCGAAACGGCGAAAGGATATTGAGTGTAGACCTCGTTCCACCATGAGCCGTGAACGTTTTATTTATAAAGTTGAAAGAGCCAAAAAAAAGTCTAGAAGTCTCTTTGATTTTTTTATACTGAAGTGTTGTTCTAGGCTGGTTGCCGGGGTTCGGGACTTGTGAATATTCGTCTGTGAATCAATCCAGTCTCCTAGCGCTCGTTTGAATGCTGACTGGGCGAGAGGTGTAAAAATGACAAACAACTCAGCTGACTAGAGCTTGGCCGGTTCGCCGTGAAGATAGTTAACCTTAGAATTACAGCAACAGTGGCAACCTCAAGGACGATGTTGTTGGAGAACTATGTACCGCACATCATCATGCATTGATGGGCTGACTTGGTAGCAGGCGTGAAGGCACATTTTTCCCTTATGACCGCTCTCAAGTTCTCTGCAACACGTGTGCGCGGGTTCATGCTGTTTTCCTCATCAAGGTTTTTTTTACACACACCGGAGCTTCTGTGGCTCATGATGGTGCCTTCGGCGCCTGTATGTAGAAGAAGTCGGGCGTCGGAGCCGCAGTTCTGGTCCCTGGAGAATGGATTCTGACAGGCCGTCTGCCCCGGCACCCCGGACTCGGAGATCGATTACTTGATATTAGATCAGATTGATTTAAACCTTGTGCCAAACGTTTTTGAACATTTCCTTCTCCTTTGCTATTGCGAATATGTACATATCATGGCCTAGCAGACAACTGACTAGAGAGCATAGGGCGTGGAGACACAGAGGAGAATGACGTCGGCAAAGACCAAGATGACTTTCCAAGCACAAGACCGTTTCTGGATTTTGATTCATGTGATTCAAAATCGATTTGGATACCTTTAGATCCGCACTCACTCAACCAGGTATGAACACATTGGCAAGGCTGCTAGAATTGAAGCTCAAACGCGATTCACAAGCAAAGTCCGGCGGTTATTGGCCGGCGCGTCCTCACTACTGCCACCGAGCTCCCAACGAAGGTTTTATCCTCGATGTGTACGATGATACCGATACAGCCCCTCAATCACAATCGGCAGGATAATCGTCTTGGCTGTTCACGATTTCTGCCTAAGGGGCGAAATGTGCAAGATGTGCTACTCTAGCACTACGGCTAAGAGAAGCCGGCGGTCGGTTCGCCCCTTGACCACGCCGAGGCTCCTCACATTCCGGCAGACCTTAGCGCCAGGTGTTCACAGACCAAATCCAGTTCTAAGTTGTTCTAGTTTACTAACGAATTTAGGCCTTTTACTTTAGCCTCCTTGAGGACCTCCTATACTTTCAAGGTGCTCTGAGCCTCTGAGGGTGAGTTGTCGTAGTAATCAAGATAAAATACGTTGTACTCTAGCCTACATGGTCGTCAAATGTCAAATCCCCACCATAAATATTTACTTCATCCTTACCATAGTTCAACATCCCGCCTGAGTTGGATTGCACTTTTTGTGCGATGTGCTGGCTGTCGAATCACACACTATTACAGAAGCTGATGTAGAGACATCGTGTAATATGACTGGGTGCGCTGTGCAGTGTACTTCGATATTGACTTCGCATATCTTGTGCAATTGATGAAGCTGGCAATCAATCCCACTTGGCGATGTAACCATGCCCGAAATAATTACAGGCGTCATTCTTTACTCTATGTAGGGAAACTTTGGAAGTGCTTTATCCTATGGATTCTGGTCTGGTCCTATTCTCATCCATATCTCCAGATTTAAAAGATCATGGTGATTTATTGTCAGTAGCCCGAGGTTCTCTCAGTTTGCACTTTTCGGTCTTCCAGAGGAAATACGAATTGATATGTTTCATCTGCTTTGATATATGCCAAGTTGCGCCGAATTTTGATATCTCTGGATAAAAGATAATTCTCAGTCACTTTCATTTTACTCTGCTATTAGTTTCTTTTCTGATTAAAATCGAAATTTCTCTCCTTTTCTAACACTTCCCACTTTCCTTTGCAACAAGGTAATTATGTATGTTTCAAGGGAATTCGGAGCGGGACGGCTGGACGATATCAGCTAGTTCCTGGGCACAAACCTTAGCTGGTTTATGCTAGTCCCAACCACCAGACGGTTTGTGTTGCCCCGTTCTGGGATAAGTCATCCCTATGAATTCTGAATTCGACTCCTCGGCGTTGACAGAGAGCTCGCATAGCATGCCATTCCTCTGTCGGGCAATCGACTTCGACTTGCTCGTCGATTGCCAGCTTCTCGAGTCTACTGAGCGGTCCCTCAGCTCGATCCAACTGGAGGATCTGATCTTTAAATCTGTATCCAAAGTACCGGTCGATGAAAAGAGACTTCAGATGGAACGGAAGCACATTCTGGTTCCAAGCATGCAACAGCGGCAGCTCAACCATGCCGCAAACCTCGAGATGCTGCAGATGTTCCAAGTGGGGCATCATGCTATTGAGAACATCCCCCATGTAAGAACTCCAATTGAACGCTTCTCGCCTTATATTTCTCGGCGGCACTTCGTCCCTTACCAGGTCTGCTATCCGGAGGGTCTCGATCTGTCTGCATCGCCTGAAAGCGTGAAAGAAGGTATAGGCTTCATACTTTCTGCCAACCTTGGTATATTCCCTCAGCTCTCTGCTTGTCACATACTTCTCGAAGACCCAAGTGAGCTGCCGGAGACTGCTGTGCGACTTGGCCACGATGAACTGCAGATTTTCCGGATGCAGCGCCCAGGCTCTTCGCACATGGAGGGAGACCAATTGGCAGGCCGGTTCCCCCCGAGGCCGGAATCCCTCCATGTTTTCCGCGCCGTCTCGTGAACCTAACAATTGAAAAAACCGTCAAATGTTTCACTTCAGGCAGGGCGAGTTGCGTAGGAGTTCGACTAGAGTGTCGAATCTGAGCCATTCGCAGCCAGCGTTTGTTCGGAAGGTGAATGAAGTTAGGAGGGGGAATGAGGTGGATCGGAGATCCAGGGGCGGCAAGGGATTTGGCCACTGCGTCGAAGACGGGGCACGGCCCATCTCGACGAAGAACGACTTGATGGTGGCGCTGTTACTCCTCAGCAACTCCAGTCCCTGGGAGCAGCCGCTGGTGGAGTAAATCTTGATCCGCTTGCATGGCGAAGTGAGGAGATGACTTCGCGGGACAAAGGCGGCGTTCGTCGGACCGGCAAGGATAACGGATTGATTCATCCGGGCCGACATGGCATGATTGAACTGTCGAGAAATCGTCCGGAACTCGACCCCCAAGTTCCATGCGGTCCTGTCTGCAGCAACACGCCTCTCCCAGAATGCCGCCTGAGTCTGGAGAGGGACGGACCAGTAGGCGGAGGAGCTTGGGTGTTCACAGTCATGATCTTCGCCTACATTAAGATGATTTAAAATTGAAGTTACGGCTTCAACTGGAAGAGAGTTCATTTTGAGGTATGGGTGGTTAAGTAGTAAGTATTCGTGCGTTTGAATTCTTCAGCAGTTACGTTTTAGCAAGTCTAGCCCCCGGGAGCAGCCGCTGTTTCTAACCCAACATACAAATAGTTATAACTCTTCAATGGAGGACTTCCCATCAATCTGGAACCCTTAATTTGGAAGGTCTAATCCTATATCCCGGGCTCAATTTGGTGATGAGAATCAAGTGAATTGAGTTCTGATCAGCAAACAAGATTTGGAGTCCAGCTTCAGGAAGGCTAAATTATGGGTCCCAGACTGACAGGAAGTCCTCCAAATGTAGAAGTTAGAATACAAATTTCACACATCACAATACAACCAAAATTGCATATACTGGAGGATTTCCCATCAACTTTACAGCCCTTGTATCTGTTGATTTAGACACAAAAAGTCTGTATTTTTTTGCTGGGGATTTCGCTGTCCAGTCTTTTTTAATTCTGGCTTCACAGGGGCCATAAAATCAAAGGCAAGTCCTCCACTCACATGTCAGTTTACAATGGAAAATGTTTCCAAGGGCTGATGTTGAGTAAGCTCCTGAATATGCACATTCTAAAGCCTTGAACCACTACCCACTCTAAATTCAGAGTTCATGTGCTGAGTTCAGGCAATGGATGTGTATCCCTGACTTGAAGGCCATTTTTGAGACTTCTCCTGACAGGAATCCCAAATGGATGGAGTGTTAGGGGTTAACAGACTTTAACCCCCTGGAAAAAAGAAATGGAGAAGAATGAAAATATGAAATGAATAGGTAGTGCACAAGTGCAAGAAGAATATTGGAGGACTTCCCATGGGTTTTACAGGCCTTGTAAAGCTAGATTTACAGGCTGTAAAGCTAATTTTTCGCTGGGGAAACGGTTTCACAAGCTTGTAAAAATAGCTTTACAGGGGGCTGTAAATTCGACGGGAAGTCCTCCATTGAATTGAATGTAAATTATATGCTGCAGGCCAGTAAGAAATAACACAATGTGAAACATTACCTACCCCAATCATTGATACCATCGATCAACCTGTCTACTATCGTCCTTTTCCCCAGTGTATCACAAAACCATAAATTGGCCAGCCAATAGGAATGTATTTAAGCAAGGAAAAGAGCCACAAAAAGGGATCCCCTTCCTTCATTAAGATATAAATAAAATCTGCTGAATTTCTTTTCCATTTCATGGTCAACACTTCACGTGCTAAGAATCCACTACTAGGCTTACCCCCATCACCCCAACAATGGCCTGGCAAAGGCCCAACTCTCCTTAAACAAAAACAACAACAAGAGCACTGAGCTCTTTCTTGGCTACCCCTGCTACCACAGTCACCCCCATCATTTCTGGCTACACCACCACCACAACTTGTCCTTAACAGTCCAATCACTACAACACCTCACACTACAAACAACACACTCCATTTTTCCCCAAGGAAAATGGCAAATTGAGTGGTCAAAAATAGCTCAAACTCTTGGAAAGTTTTTTACAAAATGCCACAGGAGTGAAAATTAGGACAAAATGAGCTATCTTAGCCAAAAAATGACAATGGCTCATATGAGCTAAAAATTGATTTTGGAATGTTTGAGGCATTTTTATGTTTGGGCTGAAATAGCTGATTTCAGCCTCATGGTTTCTACTCTTGAGACATTTTGGAAAAAAAAGGGCCAGGAGATTGTTGCATTTTCCACCACCCGAATCGATATAGATCCTTGGGTCAAGATGTGTATTGTTTGTAGTGACATTGAAAGCTGGTTGTTTTCAAGAGGGAAATGTATGATCTTTCTTGAGGGCTGGTCCACATTCCAGTCATCAGTAGTGAATGTCATGAATTGTTTCTTCTGCCCTGGAGCTATCAATGGGCCATGTGAAAAGTCCTTTGACCCCCCTGCTCAGCTTGCTCGGCCAAGCCTGCTGGACACCCTCCAAACCCACAGCGGCACTGGGCCAAGCAGGGGCTTTGGATTGTGCCAAGAGCACTTGAAGACCATAGATGGTATGCATGAGGATACAATATGAATATGAATCCCCTCAATCTGAATCTACAGTGGTGCGTGGCATTGCACTGTACAAGGCTGCCCGCAAAACTTGTTCTGGTCGCGCGGGGTTAAACCCCAACCCCGATGGGGGTCCAGCACTTGTAATAAGTGTGTTTTTGGAGTCTACAGGGTGTGTAGATTCCAAATCTAAAGTGGAAAACAATTTGGTCCAGCCAAAAAAAAAACTTTTTTTTTCACTCAACCATTCGGACACAGGTCGTGTATGGGGGTCTTACACCGCGGGCGCAATTTGGAAAAAGCGGGTTACCCCTGGGCCCGCACCAGCCCGCAGCCGTCCCCGCTGGGCGTCTGACGCCCCACCGTCGCCCACATCTCGCCAGGTCGATCCCTTGCCAACACCGGGATAACCTCTTGCGGGATTCACCCGATGGGTGTATTCCCACACCTTCGATGGCCTGACGACGCACCCAGACTGCTCCCTGGGTCAACCGCCGACACCTGCTACCAACCCGCATTGCAACCCTTGCGTGTCCCAGGGCTATTCTTCAAACCACCTCCCCTCCACACCTCGCTGCATGTTTCTCTTCTCGACGAACCCGCATCGTCCACCTCGCCACCTCCCCACCCAAGAAGACCCCGAGCTCAGACTTCGCACTACCGATGTAAGTCAACCCCCAACGTACTCAATCTCAGGACCCTCATCGCTCTTCCACATAGTCTGACACGGCCCACAACCTTTACAGATACCCAGTACAGGCCGCCGCTCATTCGGGGCTGCCACCTCAAGGCAAATAGCTCAGACGGGTCAGGGATTCCGTCCGACAGAAGGTTGTCGTACCAAGGAGCCTCAACCGAGTGGCATCAGCTCACACACCGCCGCCACCCCCAACAATATCGACGGGGGAGGATCTACAAGCGACCGCCAGACTGTCTCCTCCCCTTCAACTGCGATGCCCTACAACCATCACCACCCACGCACGTCACTCAACCTCCCACCTCTACCTGTGATGGTCTCACTCATTTCTTCTCACCGCACCGGCATCGTCGCCGCTATCAGAACCGCACCCGTGCACCACCGGCTCACCAGCTTAGGCTTAACTCACAAGTTGGGCCCACCAATGTAGATTGACTTGTAGGCCAGTAGAGTGGGTTGTTCAAGGCCAGGTCCACTTTCTGAGTTCTCCATTCCACCCTTTCTTAATGTCTCCATGTATGTGCATGGTGTCCCCATTGTGTCCCCAACCAAATTACCTCCATCTCTCTCAATGATCACCCAGCAGAAATTTGAACAATGCCTCCCCAGTACCTCCCCCCCCCCCACAATCATCCTTGCCTCCAGGTGAAATCCAATAAATAATTATTATTATAAAGAGCCTATTTGGGTGAGATAGCAGTCAAGACTAAATTAATTGCATCAAAGAAAAGTGAAAATACCCAACTAAGCCAACCCTAAGGTTGGGTCCACCGCCTCAACTGGTCCCACCGGCCCAGTCGCGGTCCCTGCAGCATGCCAATTTGCCAAGCCCTCATGCAGTGCGGCCAAGTGGTCATGGTTCTGCCGGGCCACATATGGGACATCGGAATAATTTTGGTGGGCCAAGGTGGAAGATAAAGAGGCTAGATTAACGACATAGTTCTTTCGGTCCGTGTGGATGATTCCGTCCAAGTAAGTGCCGGTCTGCTGTCTCTCCCTTCTTTCTGGAATGACAGGGGCTATTGTACAGTGTGCGAGGTGGCAATTATGCTGGATGTTCAAAGTAGCGCTCACGTTCTGAGGTTTTTCAAATTCACAACATGAGACAAGAAATCTGATTAACTCACAGCTTCCCTCCCCTCTTGGACACCCAACATACAATAAACAACTCACTCCAACACTAATGAATATACCTCCTTGGGTTCGTTTCACCCGCCTCATGCCGTAAAAATCATCCACACCCTCCAGGTCAAATGGCGTGAGGCATAAGTATAGAGCACAATGGCGGCCTGATTTTGCTTTCCAAAGGTGGTCCACCTGCCCCAATTGCCTGGGGCCCGCAAGCTCATCCTGCCCACGACCATACTGACACACATGATGCAGCCAAAATCCAAGTGTGAGAATTTACATTAGGAACACACAATCAATTGAGAGAGCTCACCAAAACAAATGATCTGGCTCGAATCACATGCTTCCCGTCAAGGTTGACCTCAGCAATCTGTGACACTGTGTAACCTTGGAGATGTTCCTGCAGATCCAGCGGGGTTGGAACTTTATCCGCCAGTTTGACCTTCCACTTCCGGATGTTGGGGTACCGATGGTCTGACTCTGCGAGTAAGGCGTTATTGAGCCCCATTGACTTTTGAATTGTGATGCTCTGCAAAAAGATGTCTGTCACACACGATCCTGCAGCACAATACCTACCACTTTTCTTTTCAAAGAAAAAGCCACCCGACAATATGTGCCGAAGAACAAGATAGTTCGCAAAGGTAACCGCAATATCTTGGCCGGGACTCTGGCGATTGGAGTGTACAGAAGCGTTTCGCAAGGTACTGTTGTAGCCTTCAAATTTTTCGGTGGCAAACAATGAGGCCGGTCCAAATCGAATAATTGAGTCCACTAAATGTAGCAGCATGTGGATTTTTGGCTTATTGACCCATTGCGCTGTACCCTTCGCGAGCAGGTACAAGAAATTTCGGACGAGGTAGACCAGTCGCTCCTGGAAAATTTCCATATCCTCAATGTGAGTCTGGAAAACTAATGGGGCCAGGAGACACAGCGCAATCCATAGTTCCCTCTCCCTGCCGTCCATGTATTCAAATAGCACAAAAGGGGCGGCTTGTAGGACTACACGGAAGTCCTTGCCGATGAAGTTGGCAAAGTGCTTGGTGAGGTAGGATGGCTGGATGGATGGAATATTGAGGCCATCAATGTTAAAGGATTGATACCTAGCTTTGACGTGTAGTTTATCCTCGGCTGACAGGCGACGCATGAAGTCGCGGACCATGTATTTTACTACCCCCAGAAGAAACACATGGAGGATCTCAACAGGGGTGTCCCGACATCCATCAAAACCTGTGATGTTATTGAGAGAAGACAGCCTTTCATTGGCTACAAGCAAGCAATCAAAGCAACTGATACAAGAGTACTCACCTGGGGCCTCAAAGTAAGGATTTAACAGTCTTTCTGGATTGGACTGATCAAGCTCTTTGATCTCCTCCAAGAACCGCTTCTGAGTAGCAGTTGCATCTGGTCCCAATTCAAGCGCCTCATACCTCTGGTCAATGACAGCTCTGTTGATCATATCCTTCACCCCATGCGTAGACGAGCTATTTCCGACGGTGTAAGACTCAAAAAGTGGTTGTAAGACCCTTTTTGCTGAATGGAGAAGGGGATGGTGGAGGTGCAAGCTCTGCCCTTCTATACTATCAGATAACAAGACCCACCAAGCTCAGCTTGGCAAGTTTTAATCAAGTGATAGGGTAAGTTCAGGAATGAGTTTGTGTGATGCTGAGAATGAGTTGAGTTGTTATTGGTGTTGGGTAAGGTTCTGTAAAGGTGGTGTATCTGTGATTGAGTGGTACTAAACTTGTGACTGATGAATAATACACTGAGGAGACAACAAATGGGAGGAGAGCCTCCTTATATAGAAAATAGTGAGGGAATTTAGCTCCAGGGCAGCCAGTAATGAGTGATTTTGGTTGGCCTGGGCTATTACATGAGGGATTTTAGCTACATACATAAGTTGAATGAGTGAATGTGATTGGTCAGACATGTACAAGAGTTAAGTGGGGAGCCAAACAGCTGAGAGAGTGATTCTGATTGGTCAGGTTCTGATGTGTTTACAAGTGAGTGTGGTGGTGTAAGCTGCAGCTGTCATGCATGGAAAATACACTAATCTAGGCTGCAGGTATGATGTAATATGTAGAAGTGAAATGTAAAGAGTGTAGATGTATGTAAATGAGTGTGTATGTAAATGAGTGTGTATGTAAATGAGTGTGTATGTAAATGTGTGTGTATGTAAATGTGTGTGTATGTAAATATGAGGCTGTACTGTACTGAGGGTGTCTGTGTAGCTTGAGGGTTGTAATGGTGATTGGTGACATGTAATTGATGGGTGAAGTATGTGTGATATGTTGTCCATTGTGGGATAAGTGTTGATCCAGGTGTATTCCAGTGGCGCCTCCGTGGTGACCAAGGGTGAATTTGTCCGTAGAGTCCAGTTCATGAGCCGTATGGTATTAATTCTGAGAGAGATTGGGTGATAATATGAAGAAAATATATGTATAAGAAAAGAAAGAAAAAAACTTTTAATTCTTCACATTTTTGACTACCACAACGGCTGTCTTGGTCCTCGGTTTCTTAGCCATGGTCCACACTTCGGAGCACCGAGTTTTGATCTGCTCCCACAAGCGTGGAGGATGCCTAACCTGTGGTTGTAAAAAATTGGAAGTCAGTCATAATAATACCCTCACCAGGTTGATACGTGGGAAACTGACCCAAGATCCCGTTGGGCCTATCATGAAGAAAAAGCGGACGTAGTCGAGTGTTGCCTTTGCTTTGACACTGGCTGCTGACAAAGCACAGGCCCGGCACGGGTGGAGGGAATTACCAGGATTAGGTGTGCTCGTGATCTCAGCGTGCATCGGCGAATCCCCCAGAAAGCACATGATGTTCAAAACCACGAGGACCTCTTCTTGGAGAGTGCAGTCAAAAGCCGGATAACCCTCCAAAGCAAGCATCCTGAAAATTCCAGTAAATGTTAATCAAAGTTTGGGCTTGATTAATGAACAGGAAATTCTAAAATAAACACACTGAAGGTCAGCGACTATTGGTTCAGCCAGCTCCATGGCCCCAGCAATATTGGAAGTCGTCAGAAAGTGGCAATTGTAATTTTGGTTGGTCCAGCTTGGTGGGAGGCCCGACAACGTGAAATAGTAGGATATGTGTTTGTTCCAACGCTTCGATTGGTTTCCGGAGGTGTCGTCGGAATAAAGGTTGATTGGCAAATGCCTTATCACGCGGCCATTTGCCTTTGCACGCCATGGGTTTGGCAGATGATGCCAGGTTGTTTGATGTTCCCCTAATTCTGAACAGTCACAGCCCGAACTTTTCAGTTCATTCACACAGGGATGAAAATGCACAATTATACTCTCACCAAAAATTGACTCCCGACAGCGAGTGGCCAGCAGTTGGCCTTCAGCGTCTGTAATCTCAGAATAGTTATAATCGAACTCAGACACCTTGACGGTTTTCAGCCTTTCGCAACCAAAGGGTATACCTGCCGGGATGGTCATTCGGAGCTGGTTTCCATCACCAACAGCCTGATAATCAGGCACAGCACACTTGGAGTACATTTCTCCATCCATTTGAAAAAAAAAAAAACAGGAATTAAAACTTCATCATTGTTCATCTGTACTGGCTCATACAAATACCAATCAACCCCTGACAATCGGTACATTGGTGCCCTGCAGGTGGGTTCCAAGTCAGAGAGCCACTTTGCGGATTGAGACAGTTTATAAATATTTCGACCATTGGCCTGTTGCGGATAGTAATCTATGACCGGGCTGACTTGAGGGTTGGACACTTCCTGGGCAAGGATTCTTGGAAGGCTTAAGCGGTAGGTGGGGGTGCTAAATACAGACACACTGGGCAAGACCTCCAAATCAAGCAAGGTGCGAGTTTTTTTCTTCTCGCGTCGAATAGTTGTCCAGTCAGGTAGAATAATATCATAGAATTTGAACAGCAGTCGGATATGCGCATACAACGATCGAGAAACGATGTGGTGAGTGTAACCGATCAAAAGTGACGCAACCAGATACTATCAAAAAGATGTCAGTCACGAATTTGAGGATCATACAATTTAGCCAGAGGTTTTTTCAGCACTTCACCTCTTTGTTCTTGTAAGGCCACCAGGGGTTAGCCGCTGGACGATATCGCCGGTGACCTCCAGGTTCTTCGTCATGACTGGCCGCGTATGATCCATGCTGTTCCGCGGCGCTAGGGCTGTTGGGCAAGTCCCATTCTTCATTGTCAACCTCGTTGTTGGAGTCGTAAGCTGACAGTTCCGAGTCTGACAGATATCCACGCCGAGTCGAATCTGCACAAGAATCCGTTGAGAACTCGAGTTCTTCCTCACTACCATCCAAATCCTTTGTGCCTGCGGTAACGTTTGGTTCATTGTCGAGGCCTTCCCATCGGCACCATGCAGCCGTCGTCTGGGCATCCTCATAAACTTCTGGGATGTTTGATTCTAATTGATCGTCACTTGTATCGCCTATTGGAGAGTTAACCACCGTGAGCCTCGGTGAAAGGGTGCTTGCCGCTCGAGCAGCATAGAAAGCCGAAAGTGCTGTGAGATGTTTGTCGTATCTCATGTGCTTGTGGACCGACTTTTCAACCATTGGTCGGGACCGGCACACCATACAACTGTAGGATGCTGTCGGTGCAGCTGAGTCCAGGCGCCAAACGGCTACATGGAAAGATAGCCATTGAAAAAAATGATGATAAATAGCATGTCAGCGGCCAAGATTAATTCCCAATCACAACCGCACTGAACTCACCTGGATCCAACACAAGCTCAGGATTACGTCAACGGCCCATCGATTGTTGAGAGGGAGATGATAGTGGGGCAAAGGGCCTTCAACCGCCGATAGTATTAGCAACACAGGATTGAGATTGATTAAAGTGGTGTCATTCAAGCCAGACTTTGGCCACAGACAATAAATCGTGATCAGTCGATGAGACAATAGCTCATGATCGAGCGATGATCGATCCACAGGAAGCCCAGCCGCCTTGGCCTCATTGGCCAAAGTCGTCTGAGGGTCCCCCAATGGCTTATTGGAGTGTTGGCAGCGTGGTAGCATCTGATGAAACCTCCAGCTCACCAACTGGGACCCTGGATGCTCAAGTCCCTCTGTTGGAGCAAATACAAACCACAACATAATCTGATGAAGACCCGTAAGTGGGCTCAGTCAAGCTTTTGTGTCCCTATCCCTCTTGACACCCCCATTGAGACAACCAATCTTAGCTTCCCTGGTTCCCCAGTGCCTAACGTGCAAGTCGATGCCTTAATCCTAGGAAGCACGAGAAAAATGAAACACGGCACACCCCTTGCCACACCCAACTTTGTTAGTACAACTACTCCCACTGTATTTCCATTGCCCAGACCTCCGCGGTTTCAATCAATGGGGTGGTGGGGCCAAACATGAGGTTAACCCACTCAAACTCAACCGGGGATGGTCCAGAATGTCATCGCCAAATCCGCGCAAATCTTCATTACCGGGTCAGCCAAATGATGACCCTACGCAGTGATGAGTGAAATTTGTCCGAAAGGGGAAAACCCTCTCTGGAGAAAATCCTTGATCTGTGGTCTCTCGGGCAATCCAAAGGTCCTCAAAAGACCGTCATCTGTGAGTGACAAACAACTTCTTTCCTCTTCATTCCTCCTTCCCTGTGTATCTTCTTAACACTCCCATTTTTAACCGCTTATCGTTCCATGTCAAGCATGTCTGACTATGTGCCCACCGAAACCGAAAGCGAGCGTGAAACTCGTGAGGAAACCCGCTCACCGGAACCACGACTCAACCATCAGAATCCTCGCCAGACCCAAGCCCCGCCTAGCCGGACTGGTCCTATCCGGAACACAACTCACCGGAATGGTCGTCTGCCTGGCCAATCATATCCGCCTTTGAGAGGTTCGGTAGCTGCCGCGGCGGCTTTTGCCCGGCAAGCCGGCAGACCCACAGCCGCGCCTACTCAGCCGACCAGGTCTGGGCGAGCAGGTGAGTGTGAAGAATGTAGCAGACAAATCTACCATTGCTGACTCTGTTGTCTTGTCCAGCCTTGATTCCAAGTGTTGGAGCCGCCGAGAGACTCGCCCGGCGCTCAGTCCCTCCCTTGGGAGACGTTGCGGACCCAGGAGAAGTGCGAGTCGATGCTTCCACTGGATTCCCTAATGGTATCATTGACTTGACTCACCTGGATGAGCCTGTCAATGAAGAGTATGTACAAGAACTCGAAGGGTTGTTTGAACTCAGGCGCGGGTACGCTGCAGTTGGCGAGTCACTAGCATATGTAAGACCGAACGACTCTGTCAAATTCTAATCATGTCCACACTGACGGCTCTCTTCAGGTGGCACCTCCCCGTCAGCATGCCACTCACCTTTACAGCCAGCTCGCAATTTTGCAGGCCATTGAGCGATACCACAATGCCGTACTGGCTGTACCGCGAGCAGCCGCACTCCCGGAGGTCACTCCGGCAAACCAGGCTCAGCAATTCCAATATGCCCCGGTTTTCAAAGTACGTCACCTGAATATCGAAACTGCTGCCTCTACACATCTTGACTCACTTGATGTGTGATGTTTTGCTAGGATTTTGTCAAGCGAAAGGCTCGTGAGCTTCTCATGACCAAGAACTTGAAAGTATATGGGTCCGACCTTCCCCGCGGTGCCCCGGCGACGCTCAAGAGCTTGCTTGTCCTTGTCTTGGTCGGTCAAGTCTTGCGAATCATCACCCAGTTCCGCCTTGCATCCATGATCACTGAACAGTTAACTGTCCACTTCCAGGATCACATTAATGCTCAGCCGACAAGCTTTAAGCGAGAGTATCTCCCACGAGGCTATGCTGACGGCGATCCAGGGGCTGTTGCCAGTGTGGATAGCTTAGTACGGAACAAGTTGCGAAAAAGTCGGGGCATGATGCGTGACCTGGTGGGTGGTCCAATCTGACATAAAACAGAGGTGGAGTGGGTGTCTGACCGAGCTGAATTTTTGTTATTACGGTCCAGCTCCTGACTAACATTCAAGCTCCGGCCGGGAGAGAAATCACACTTCCGATACCCACTGCCTCGGCGTTGATGGTAAATGTAAGTCTATCGTTTTTGCTCTATTGTCAGGTACTTTGTTGTTGTTGGTGCTGACCTGCGTGGCATTGGTTGCTGTACAATGGGCAGATGCGTACAAGTATGACTCCTCCAATCCCGAACAGCACTGCAGTGGTTGCTCCTGACCCTCAGGAGGCCAGGGGGAATCAGACCCACTTGAAGGCTCGTCTGGCTTACCTTCGTATATTAACTGTTATGCAGTTGGTGGGCAGGGGGCCCCGTGACGCTGGACGACAGTGGAGGAATATTGATGAGCATTTGCGACATTTGGAGGCGATGGGTCGAGACTATCGAACCGTGTGAGTCTTTTTGCACGGATACACAGGTTTTTGGTGGCTTACATGGAGGTCATTGTGCAGCTTTTTCCGGCTTATCTTGAGACTGGACCGAGCTCTCTTCAATGGGGATCAATTCTTCCTCGGGATCGACACCAGCACAATCAAACTGCCAACCAACCAGGAAGTGGAGGATCTGATGGCAGCCGCGGGAGAAGGTGTCGACCATGAGGACGCTACATTGGCTGAACCCTAACGATGTAAGCTATCTTTCCAGGGCTAACCCAGTTCAGGCAGCTGGCTGTCTTTTGTCTTACATCCCTCGTTTGTCGGTGTTGTATCTCCTCGTGAAACGTTGCACACATCACATTTCTATTGCATTCTGGTTACCTCGCTGGTTTTCTTACGTTGTACATATCTTCTCTTTTTGCTTTGTATCTTTTCTTCTCAACATTCTTTCTTACTTTGTACATACATATTCGGATCTCTTCCTTCACTCTCTTCTACCTTGTTCATAATCCTGATGCGTCAATAGTTGGATAAAGATCAAAGTCCGTTTCTTTGCTTAACACTCTGTCGCCACCAAATTGGGTGAGAGTGTAACCGAGCCCCTCGCTCTTCAAGATTCCAGGAGCGTTTCTGGGACCGATTTGGACGGTTTGCCCAGAAGGCTGAATCGATGTGGGTGGGGGAAGTATGGTTGTGCCCAAGCCAGGTCTCGGTCACTCGCGTCCAAGGACTGTCCTTGTTGCAGGACCGGGGCACCTGCCGGGCGTCGTCAAGCGACGCCAGGTAGGCTTGCCTGCGTGTGTCGGCTGCACCAGAACTGCTTGTCAGGTGTCCTCGCTAAGGAACGGCAGCTAAAGGATAACCGTTGGATGGCTTGAGCACACTCGGGTGGATGGCAGGGGGCCGGCCTTGCAGGCCGGCTTGTGGCTGTCTTTTTTTTTGGCATGGGGAGCGCCTGTAGGATGCCCCTCCTTGTTTTGGTGGTTGCCCGACGGATGATCCGCGGGGGGCTGTCCCAGGGCTGCCCGACTGCACCCGCGGTGTAGTACATACTTATGGGTTAGGGAGGTATCCTAATCCCATACTCACATGGCCAACTGTCAGCAAAAACCCATAAACATGAGCTTAAAGTGTGTTTCACAGGTCAATTACAGCAGCTGTGACACCAGATTTACATCTCAACCCCCCAAAAACAGGCAAAAATCCAAGTTTTGGGCCCTGACCTTTTGGACATCGCAAAACCTTGTACAGTATAATGCCGCGTGCCACTGTACTTTTTTTTTTTTAGTATGCCAACCCCCCAGTCCCTCTCATGCACAGCTGCATTTCCAGCTTGATTTTAAACCACCAACTTTCACTCCAAGCTTGGCATTCAATCACTAACCCTCCCTCCAAGCTTGGTTTCCAACCACCAACCCTCCCTCCACGCTTGGTTTTCAACCACTAACCCTCCCTCCAAGCTTGGTTTTAGAGCCCCCCCCCCTCCATCCCTTGGAAGTTTTTTCTGGGTAAAAGCATGTGCAAGTCAGACAGGGTTTCTCACCCCATGCTCTATGGCATATGTATGTATTTTATATGTCCCACCCAATATTTTGATCTATCAAATAGATGAATTGATCAAGTGAAAAAAGGGACCATATAAGTCATGTGTGGGCACCAGAAGAGAGAGGTGAGATATTATAGATGCACAGAATAGAGCAACAGCAGAAAAACACACACTAAGTTAAAGAATACAAGGGACTCAAACAAAAAAAAAAGAGAGAACAAAAAAAATCCACAAGGCTGTGAGAAATGAGAAATGCTTGCATGTTTCTGATATGTTATTTTTTTTCAAGGAAAAAGGAAAGAAAAAAAATAAGACAACATTGATCACAAAACAAGAGGAGAAAAAATGTCAAACAAAAATATATATATTTATCATGCTGGTTGCAAGGTGATGATAGTTTGTATAGCCAAAACCAGTCAAGGGAAAAAAAGAATGTGTATCTTTTTTCATGTTTTGTAGATTCTTTGTGTGTGTGTGAGAGAGAGAACAGAATGGATCTATACAAAAAGGGGGGATTTTGTTTTTCAAAACAGGAAGGTGACAGAGGCGGAGAGAGAGAGAGAGAAAGAGGAGGAGACTATTTGAACATGCCCAAGCGTTTCTTGAGTTCACTGACACTACCAAAAGCCTCAGGTTGATTATTGTCGTCATTAGAAGCCGATTGAGTGGGCAAAGGTTTAGCGGTAGAAGTAGTTGAACGTCTACTAGGAGGAGGAGGGGGAGCCCTTTTGCCGATAGTTGAGGGGGTAGAAGAGAGGGGAGGTTGAGCTTTACCGGGGTAGGATCCGGTACGCAAGGGTGCACTGGTTGAGGGAGGACGAAGGTTATGTGCGGAGACAGACATCGAAGGGCGGAGTGCAGCGGACTCGGATTCGTCTTCCTCCGATCCATCCTCTCCGACGCCTTCGTCGATGTAGTGTTCGTCCGGGTCCGCAAACGTGTCCTGAGTTTCTGGTGTCAGATAGCGGGCCTGTTGATCGGGCTCCTGCTCTGTCACACAGTATGCCGCCGGGAACATCCCGCTCCGCCCCGTCGTCTCGTTCCGGCCCACAAACCATTCCCCATTGATCTCGTTCGTCACCCGGACCCGGTCGCCCACCTCTAGCTCAAGCTCATCCGACTCCGTTGCAATATACGCCCACTTCGCCCGCATCCATTTCGAAGTCTTCCCATTCGTGCCTGCCACTACCGATCGCCTTAGGTTCGAGCTTGAACTTTGGTTGAGAAGATTTCCGCTCGACCGCCGTCGACCGCTGTTTTCTAGCGTCGGGGAGAGCGACTCATCTGATTGGATAGAGGCTGCACCAGGCGGAGGCATGCCTGGGATTCTGACGCCACCATATCTACCATTAGCGCTACTAGACGCTGGTTTCTCTGTTACTAATGATTCGCGTCGAGAGGGTGTTTGTCGAGGTTTGGGAGGAGCGGTGACGGCTGGTCTGGGTTGGCGTCTGGCGCTGAGATCAGGTTCACGTTCCTCGTATTCGTTCTCGTCCTCTTGGTGTTCCTCTGCCCCCTGTACGTCATCATCCCCATCTTCTTCGGAGTAATGAGAGCGTGTTCGTCGGTGGACTGAGCCCGCCTTGCTCTTGATCAAGGTCTTTGAAGCTGGCGGAGGCTCGGCACCGAAAGCATGTGCTGTTTTCTTGCGTCCACTAGTATTGAGGCCCTTAAAGGCAGATCTATCCATTTGTTTGTTTGTTGACCGGTTTTGAAGATAGAGGGAGACATAAAAGTCAGTCAGAATGTAAAGGAGCATTGTCACAAGAGGAAGAGATAGAGAGAGAGAGAGAGAGAAGGAACTCAAAACGGATCAACCCAGTTCCTTTTCAGATCATCAAGAATTCGCTTTTGCTCATCAATCCAATTTGATTCAATTTCTAAGAGTCTAGTCAGGGCGATCATTTGTTCTGCTTCACTATCCTGAATAGCGATGGCCCGTTCCTGAACTTCTTCGCTTGTTTCCTCGTATCGATTCTTGGCGACCCTCAAGTCATCCTCGAGGTCCCTCTTCTCCTTCTTCGATTTCTGTACTTTAGCCAACATGGCATCATAGGTCAGTCGACGTGAGTCGAGCTTCTTACGTTGGTTAGTGTATTCGGACATTTGGGCCAATGATTTCTCCAAGGAGGTGAGCCAACCCGAGTTCATATGGTCGGCGAAATTCGCAGTGGCGGTGGCCATCTGTTGTTGAGCTTTCCCAAACGAGACCAATGCTTCCCCTGTTATGTCAAAGAATTTATGGATCGGTGATCAACTGAATTGTAAAAAAATAAAATTCAAAGCAGGGGAGAAATACCAAATGAACTATCGCTTCCGAACTCATCGCCATGGTTTGCCAAGACTAAACCGAGGCCGTCGATCGGTAAGACTTTACCGGTATCGGTACCTTCGGGCTCTGATTTCCTTGTGAGATGTTTGGAGTACTCCTTCGAGACGCTGTACATCTTCTCCACACCGGCCTTGCGTAGTTCGACATCCTGTTCCAAGGATTGGAAATCTAGATGATTGGGAATTATTAAGGTGTAGGTCAGTTTGAGGTACAGGGTCTTGATGAGAAATTGGTTTGTGGAAATGGTTTTCTACCTTCACTCAATCTGAGATTGCAGGAGCATAGTCAGATAGATAGATATACGGTCAGCCTTCCGCTGTGCTGTGCTGTTCTCGGCTGGTATGCATGGAAGAGAAATGCATGGAAGAGAATATGTACTCAACTCAGTCTTCTGTTGACCACCCAGTTTCTCACCGGTCCACTACATAGATGATGGAGGATACACAGCAGGTTTTGAGTTAGCTGTTCGTCTGTTGATGATGGTTGGCTGAGTTTGAGACTCACCTGTTTGAGTTTTCCGATTCGCTTGTTGACCTTCATGCTGTGTTAAGTGCTAAGCTGTTTTTTACGGTGGTGGGTGTGGATGGTGGTGGTGGTGGTGGTGTCGGGGTTGAGAGTAGGGTGAAGTGGTAGTAGTAGTAGTAGTATGTACTATTACCCGAATCAGAGACCGAACGGTCAACAGCCAGCACAAGATTATCGCGGATACTCCCGTGTTGGTGTCACTGATTGATTAGACACTACTTCAGTCAGCTGGACGAGGGTCGAGGTGGCAAATACTCAGGGGTGGACGAAGATTAAGGTGAATGTGCTGGCAGGAACAACTCCATCCGTCTCTCTCATGTATCACCGGGCCCTCTTCCATCAAAAGGAACCTTCCATGGGGTCTCCACACCAACAACTTGTATGTTATTAAGCTGTAGTACTATACGGATGATGATGATGATGATGATGAGGGTGTGTAAATTAGATGGTGTCACTCTCTGGTCGTGATGGACTTGCAGCAAGTCAGATTGACCATCTCTAAACTCTATCTTCCATGGCTGGCTGGTAACCGGGAGCTTGAAGAATGGGGTCGATACATACTCTTCCCGATCAAATGAGATTAGTACACTCAAGTATCTGCAAGCTTATCGGACAAGGTAGTCATGGTGATCCCCGGCAATCCGCCCTCGCAGGGCTGGGTCTCATCATTCTCACCATTGAGATCCATGAGGCCAGTGACATGTCGGGCCTGAATATGTAGAGTGAAATACTGTAAGAATCGTGTTATGAGAGGGAGAGACTGGCTAGAGTTGCATGGTGTATTTCAAGCCACCGTCGGCGTCAACGGTTAGGATGCAAGACTTTGATTGATTCAGAAACCATCTAGCTGTGAAGTATCCATATCCAGATCAAAAATAAATAGGAATCCAATTTTTCGTCAAGGTGAGACAAGCCCAATAGATCATAAGCAACAAAACTGAAGAAAAAAAAAACATTAACAACAAATCGAGTAAGGGAGGGAATTATACGTGGATTTTTTTTCTTAAAGTGCAATGGAATGAGATAAAAGTGAGTAAGGGTTGAAGAGACCATCAATCATCCAATTCCACCGGATCATCATCATCATCATCCAAGTTGTTCAGACCGACGAACTTCTTCTTTTGATGAGGGTTTGGAAGTTTCAAGAATGAGGATTGAGAGTTCCTAAGATGGTCCAAATCAAGTGTCGAATCGGCATCATTAGCGTATTCGATCACCAAATGACGGCCAAGCAGATGTGAGAACTTCAAGCTTTTGAGGGCCTCTTGCGCCTCCTTCTTGGTATGGTATTCCACAAATCCAAATCCCCTCGATTTTCGGTCGAGCTTCTTAGGTAAACGGATCGATTTCAGTTTGCCATAGACTCCAAATAACTCGTACAACTCTTTCTTGTTGATCTCGAATGGTAAGTTCTTGATTAACAATTTATTCGTCGCCGTCTTCTTGCCCTTCTCTCCATCCAGAGCTTTCTCTTCTTTCTCTTCTTCTTCTCTCCCTCGTTTCGCGAACTTAAGCTCCAGGGTATGTCCATCTAAATAACAACCTTGCATTCTTTGGAGAGCTTGCTGGGCTGAATCGACCGTCCGGAACCCGACAAAACCGAATCCCATACTCAAGCGATGCTCAGCATTCTTGGGATCCGGCTTAGTCTGTATTCTTGAAAACAGGTAACCAGTAAGGTTGGAGAATCGGGAGGCCAAGGCGTCGGAAGTAGTACCAAACGATAGATTTTTCACAAACAGGGTCGAGCCTGGCTCTCCGCTCTCCTTTTCTTCCTTTGATGATGGTTTAGCCTGACTAATCTCTTGAGGAGTTGCGACTTCTGGTTTGGCTGGGTCTATCTTCCAAAGATCCAGAGGCGCCTTTTCCAAGTAGAGTACCGAATTCCCAATCCGCTTGTAGGACAAGGATCGAAAAGCGCTTTTGGTATCTTGCTTGTCGCCCATCTCAACCACTGCAATCGTGCCGGATGGAGGCATCAAGACTTTCAGAACAGACCCATGCTCTGAGAATAGCGCTTTGATCACATTGGTCGAAGTGTTGTAGGGAATGTTCTTGACCAAAATCGTGGTTGGGGATCGAGCTGACTTTAACTTTTCGAACGCTTCGACGTCGATCCCGTTGTCTTCGAGAAACTGTTTGGTCTCGTTGATCACATGTGTCTCCGCTAGCGCTAGCTTGACAGCCGGATTTTGTGCGTCCGGATTAAACAGCTCAGCCTTTGATATCTTGAGGCGATCGGCTACCGAAGATGCTACAGCATCCGACTGTTAAACAAGATTTCGCGAAGTTGTGAGATTCAGTGAGTGGGGGGGGGGGATTTATTTTAGTTGAGGTTAAGATGACTACTGACATTCATGTACAAGGTAGCCCAGTTAAACTGTTTGCTGCTTTCGAGTTTGCGTTTTGCATCTTGTTCCATTTTGACGGTGTTGTGTGCTTTCGAAGCAGAAGTTGATGATTCACCACGCGGGTTTCTGGTTACTGCTGGTAGGATGTGGAGTAGTCGACCTTGAAAATCACTCTGGTCCAATTTCCGGTAGGCTTCCAAGGCATCTGATGATCGACTATAGCTCACGTAGCCTAGGCCTTTGGGTTTGCGCTCATTATCAAGGAGAATGTGTACCTGCGCAACATAGATCCGCAAGGAGTTAGCATTCGATTTTCGACATGATTGGTTAACTACTGGGAATGTGGCCGTGCCATCAATCAAATGACCGATCAATCAATTTACATTACTTGATGGCCTCTGGGCAAGACAGGTGGCCCTATCAGAATCAACTAACTTGGGCAACGTTACCAAAGGGTTCAAATATCGCTCGAATCTCTTCTTCCGTCACAGAGAAAGCCAAGTTACGCAAGAACAATCGACCGCTTTCCAGTATGGTTGCCTCGTCGCTAGGCACGACGGGTTCGGGTGGCTTGCTAGAAAGGTCATCGGGAATATTAGCTTGTTGATCAACTGAAGGCTCGTTCTTATCGCCATTTTCGCCAACATCTTGTTCCCACTCCTTAGATTCCGGTGAAGTCTTCTCAAGTTCAGGTTGAAGCTCGACAGTATCAGTGAGTTTCCGTTTCATTCGACGTGCAAGGTATTCTTTATCAGTAATATCTTCATCGTCGCCTATGACCGGTGGGGGTGATGAGGATCGGCTGGATGATTCAATAGGTGGTAAATTTGGCTCCTCCGTAGTGGTGATTTCTGATTGAAGGTGAGGAACAGTAGCTTTGTTGGATTGAGGTTCTGGCTGCTGAGGAGTAGGTACAGCCAATTCCATGATTTCGTGAACTAGTGACTTATTTTTTCGTGGATTAGAGAGTGACATGAATTCCGCAAACTGTGAATCTTGCGGTTTTTCTGGCGGCTCGAGTTTAGTTTTCTTTTTTGGTGGAGAGTTCTGAGGAGCAAATTGAGAGGAGAGATTGATTCTAAACTTGATTTGAAAAGGTTGAACAAATGATTTTTTTGGAGATATGAATATAATGGCGTACTGTTGAAGTGGTATTCTGAGGCACTCCGCGAGTCTTTCCGCACTCCTCTATTCCCTTTGCCCATTCGACTGAGATCCGGCTGCCAGTCCCCCTGCCCGAGCGACCATCAACCCACACTCCCTCCCAAACATCCTTGATCCAAGCGGCCTGCTCCTGGGACTTGTATCCAACAAATGCCATCCTCCGAGACCGACCGAGTTGGCTGAGTAGAACTTTCACATCTGTCGGACGAGGTGTGGTGTGGTTAAGAGAAGTTGGAGGCGAGATCCCGGTGGGCGGGTTGGAGAGTATTTCGGTCAGGCCAGCCGTAGTGAGATCGGCAGGCAGAGATGAAAATAGTAGTCGAGGCCTGGGGAAAGAGAAGATGTCCTGTTGTTAGCTAAAAACCCCCCCGCGAAAAAACGCAAAGACAGACGAGAGGAAGCAGTTGAACCAGAAGAGATAGACTCACATCCTCAAGTCCTGGATTGGAGTTCAGATGGTGGTGGTAGGTTAAGGCAAATAGGCAACAGAGGATGGTCAACAGAGGATGGTTTTCGATCGAGCCAAAAACCGTTTCTGACATGGCATATTGAATATTGACTTGGATGCATGCATATTCTTGTAGGGACGCATACAACCAGCCATGGCCATCCAGCAGCCCAAATTCACCCACAGCCAACCAGCGACGACCAGCACATACCCTTCCAACGACTTACGACCATGGCCGACCACGGAATACTGCCACCTGGCTTCAATCCAGATACCACCTCAACCAAGCTCAATCCAAAGTATCACGTCAAACTCGAAGCTGAGAAAGTACTGGATGTCAGTGGATAATCACCTGATCTATTTTTTGAGGATTGCAAGAAAGCTAACAATTATATCCTGCATCCATTGAACAGGTAGCTGCCAACGATTTTCCAGGTCATTGGCCTGGTGAGAGTAACGCATGGGATATTCAGACATTCAAAAAGGTCAGAGAATAGATGAAAAAAAAAAAATTACGGGTTTGATAAGGAAAAACTTACCATGAGCTGGTTGATTAAGAAAGAACCTCAAGATCAAGATCTGTAGATTGTCAAGCACTTCGATGGAGTTCGATCTGATTGGAATCGATGCTAGTATAGCTAACGCTTTACGGAGGATCATGTTAGCCGAAGTGAGTGGGAGATAAAAAAAAGAAACCCCGCGATAGGAATGGATATTATGTAGTCGTCGTCCCTCCAATATCAAACATCCAGATTGGTGATTCTTTTCAGTTTGCTTTATTCCCCCATACATAGGTCCCCACAGTCGCCATCGAGGACGTATTCGTATGGAATAATACTTCACTGGTACACGATGAAGTCCTGGCTCAAAGACTCGGATTGGTACCCTTGAAAATCGACCCTCGATTGATCGACATGCGAACCGGTTCGTGCCTCTGTCAACAAACCAGGATTTGGTCATCATAGAGCTAACTCCTTCCTCCCCTCCTGCCCCTTCTACAGACGAAGGTGCCACTGATCTCAACACCATCGTCTTCAAGTTGGTCGTCAATTGTCGTCGGAATCCTCACGTACCAAAGACTGAAAAAGACCCATTGAAGCTTTACCAAAACTCACTAGGTAAGAAGCCTGTTGACCGGAAAACATGATTTTCAAAATCATACTCGGTCGAAGCGACTGACTCAATCGATTTGTTTTTCATGCCTCAGTTACCACAGAGGCTTTAGAATGGGAGCCGAAAGGGGATCAGGTAGATATGTTTGGAAGCGAGCCTCCTCGACCAGTCCAGAATGACATTGTCTTGGTCAAGATGAGGCCTGGCCAAGAAATCCGGGCGGAGATGCACTGTGTCAAAGGAATCGCCAAAGACCATGCCAAGTTCTCACCAGTCGGTAAGTCTCCCCAGAATTCCACCCGTTCAGAACGCCACATTGACCACGATGATCTACCTTTTCCCAATCTCACATTCTATAGCTACGGCCTCCTACAGACTACTACCTCACATTGTAATACATGAGCCGATACCTGAACCAGACTGCCTCAAATTTCAATCTTGCTTCTCACCTGGGGTCATAGAGATCGTCAACGGCCCCAAGGGAGGAAAAACATGTAAAGTTAAAAACCCGAGAAACGATTCAGTTAGTCGGGAAGTCTTGAGGCATCCTGAATTTGAGGGTAAAGTCACTCTAGGTCGAGTCAGGGATCACTTTATCTGTGAGTCATACTGCTTACTTCTCTCAACCAATTTGGTGAGAACTGATCTCCTTGTCTTGTTTTTGCTTTTTTTTCTTATAGTTAACGTCGAGTCAACAGGTGTATATTCACCACAAGAAATTCCACTAGAAGCCTGTGAGGTCCTACTATTGAAGATCAGAACAGTTAGGGCTTCCTTGAAGCTACGGGCGGATGCTATGCTATGATTTTGTTTTCTTTTTCCTTAATATTCTGCTGAGTTGCGCTGTTTTTTTTTTTTTTTTTTTCCTTTTTTTTTGTAAAAAATAAACACATACAACAAAAACACCAAATTAGTGAATCAAATCACATGTCTATTATGACCACCATTCCTCATGTGAAGAATATACATATGTAAAAGAATAACACTAGAAGAATAAAAAATGTGTGTTGAGCTTAGCTCGTTTCAGGGGGTCCTGACACCTGTACCGGTACCGTTCATGAGCTCGAGCAGCTTGGGGCACTTCTTCGGCCTGAATGCAGACTCAGTGACTGACGCTGACATCGGGGTGAGTATACCCATGCCGTGATATATGTAATGCTGACATGAGATCACTACTATCATCACGAGAGCATACATGATCAGACCACATTGGTTCGCCAGAATAACCTGCCTTCCATGAGTTTTTCATCATTCACGCCGGGCCCTATGTAGATAGCCGAGTCAGCGCCCGGAACATGTTCCAAGTTAGGGAGCTCGACGCGTCGGAATGGTCTTCGGGGATCCGGCTTGGTGTTTCAGAGCGGGTGAAGGGTGAGGGTCCATCAAAAAAGCAATCAGCCTGTTTGATCCTCCCTAATATCATTACGGCTAAAACTTGTATGAAAAACAAGGTTCGTTACCTGATCCCACAATTCTCGGCAGACAATACACAGCTTGCACGTACGTGTTATACATATTTACTTGTTTCCACTGACGTGGGCTAAGGTCCAATACTATGTAGGTCAGAAGGTGCGTTCAGATAATTGATGACTCTATTACGTTTTCAAACTTTTGAAAGCCAGGGTCTCATTCTTCTACATGCCTTCCGCGATATTGGCTTCCCAACAACAACAAAAATGAATGCTCTTGTGATCACTTTGATTATCATTTCCCATCTCCTCCTCAAATCATCTTGCGTTGTGCCCAACGAGGAAGTATGTCAGTCCCTGGACTCAGTCAATTCTCGACTCGTTAATTTTCTCATGATCACCGTTCGTCGAGTGGAAATAATGTTGAATGATGGCTGAATGGGTTTTATTTTCTTGTCTTCTTTGTTTCGAATTAAGTCAGACGGGTTGGTGAGGTGCTGGAACTCGAGCAACCCATCCTTCTCAAGCAATTTCCATCTCGTTTGACAGTTAAAAATCAGAATATTTTGTCCATCACTCGCTCCCTAGAGGGACCTGAAGGCAAGTTTTTTTTCTAGCTCTGCAACTTTTGGACTGCTCATTTCATATGAGGTTTGACTTTATTCTTTCTTTTCCAAAAAAAAAAAAAAAAAAAAAAAAACAGGTAGAACAAAGTTACAAAAGTTAATATGTAGGTCAGCCATCAGATTAATATCAAAAGCTAAATTATGTTGGTTAACAAGACGGACAACTGAATTTCCGGGAGAACTTTTTTTTATCCTACAAAAATAAGTGGGAAGCATTGCCGACTTGAAGAAGTGTGGTAGAATTGACCTTCAAGACACATGGACGAAATACATGGTGAATGCGGCGCGACCCAGTTCGAATTCCGACAAGGAAATCATCAACCTACGCAATAAATTCTACGACTGGTTGATGGAGAAGGGCACGCTGGAGCTTAACGTTAAACGTGACTCGTGGCTCAAGAGAAAAGCGGCCGAACTGGCAGATTTGAAGCCCACTCCAGCTACCGTGGAACTTGCAGTCAATCTTCAAGCTTTATCCATGCTATGGAAAGGTTACCAGATTTCTTTTTCTATTGGTACGTTTTTGAAGAAGAAGGAGAAGAAGAAGAAGAAAACTTTCAAGAGTACTGATTTGGACCGATTTTTTGATATATATATGCATTTATTTGTATGTAAACAAATTGACAGCTTTCCAAATCGGATTACTCCAGTTTTTTCCGGTTACTCTAGGGGATAATTTAGGGATAATGATGCAGGCATTAGCAGAGGATGAGCCAACAAACTTCAAAGTGATTGAGGGTTTTTACAACTGCATGCTCACAAAGAAGGAAGAAATCTATGGATATTCTTCGTTTCAGAAAGCAATCAAGGCTATTCTCCCCAAGCCATACCAAGTTGCGATGTCTAATTTTCCATCACTCACCGACTTGATCCAAATAGCCCCGCGCCAATACTTCATGATCCTGATTGCTGAGTGTAAGTGATTTCAAAGCGCCATGAGAGCCTTATAGGCTGGAGAATCAAGTCTTTCTTTCAAATTTGAATTAAGATATCTGATTTGACGTTGATCTGTCCTTTCAGTGGCCGAAGTATGCCAAGATATAGGACCCTCGATCATCGCTCATCGAGAAAATTTTTGGGAGCAACTGGAGATCGTTTCGATCAGGGATAACTTCCAGCCTTTGATCAAAGCCTACCAAAAATTTTGTCAGTACTTCAAAGACGGGGCTCCTTTTGACAAAGCATTCGAATATTATGAACTTGTTACATCGATCACAAACGATCTCATGCAAATGGAGGGAGCTGAAGCCAAAAGGATACGTAGTGCGCATGTTGATAAGCTGGTAGTAGTACAAGCCTCAACATCGCAAACCAAAGGATCTAATCCAGAAGAATCAGAAGAAAGACTTGTCAACGAAGAGGTGGAAAGGGCGATGCGACACAAGTTTAACTTGGCGATGAATTATGTCGAAGAACTTCATCAGGGTCTTCGTTCGGGAACCGTACGTGACAAATTTCACCCCACTACCCGCGCTGATGAAGAACAAATACACGAAATTGGTGAGTCGTTCTGTTTGAAAATCAAGTTGACTAGAGTCTTGATTCAAATGTTCATTAATGATCTCGTAATCGCAACATTCAAAGCAACACTGTTCCGTGATCTCATGACCCCGCAACACATCAAGGATCTACAGGAAGTCGACTACAAGATCAATCTTGAAGTTTCCAAGACCAATCTGCCAGAAGTCGTTAAAAGCAAAGTGAACGCATTGACATCTATACTCCATACAAGGATACGGAATTCAAAGACGGCTCAGTCAACCTATTCCAGCGGAGAGTCCTCTGGCGAGCTTTGGGGTCAAGCTTTGGCAGAGGCGTTCAGCAGTCAACTTCAGGATCACTCGCTCGCAACATCTGATGATCAGCAACTTCTCTCAAACAGACCTTCACTGCAGAATAACCCAGTAATCTGGCGCGGAATAAAAAGTACTATAGAGAGAGAATTCACGTCAATAAGTTCAGCCAACGCGGATATCTTGCTGGATTGTTTGCGCCGCGTTCAGACATTCTTCACGACGCAGGAAATTTCACAAAGAATCTGTAAGTCATTTTAATATGTATCCAGATCTTGAATCAATTCCATAATCATCACAATATATCTGTCTGATGTCTGGTGTATGTTAACAGATTCCGTTCTGAAAGGGACCAATGATTCTGAAAAAACCCATCTTCTACAATGGGCTCAAAACAAATTGAATGGATTACAAGAATATCCAAGGTTGATCACCAGTTATGAGCTAGACCAATTGAGAAACGTGTTCATGAACTTGATCAAACCAGATTCAAGAGAGCATTCATCAGCGGAATGGGAGCAAAAGCTTTGTCTGATGATGTCAGAGCTATCATCATCAGATTTGGCGATGATGATGGTCGAGATTGTAGGGGATTTCGGCCAGCTTTTGAGCGCCCAAAGACTACATAGACGGCTCGAAGAAGAGGTCAAACCATCCGTTAAACCAGAAACTTATAGCATCTTGCAGCGGATTTTACCCGGCAAAGATGGTACAACTGAATTTCAACCAGACGAATTTCAGCAGAAAAAGTTGATCGAAATGTTGGAAACTAGTAAAGGATCTGATATTGTGAAGTTTTTGAATTGTTTTAATTTGAATCAATAGCTCTGATCATTTTCTTATTCCTCATAATTCCTATCTTTCCAAGTCAATCAATCAATGTATCTTCTTTCAACTTATCAATAAGCAATTTATCTCTTGCATCTCAGAGAGTCTAGCACATCAAAGCACAATCAATTTGATTTTGATGTTTAATTTATCTTTAATAAATCAAAACATTGGAGGACTTCCCGTCGAATTTACAGCCCCCTGTAAAGCTACTTTTACAGGCTTGTGAAACCGTTTTCCCAGTGAAAAATTAGCTTTACAGCCTGTAAATCTAGCTTTACAAGGCCTGTAAAACCCACGGGAAGTCCTCCATTGTAAATACAAATCCCTGCGTAAATCGATCCAAAAAAAATCATTTTCCATGAATGGCCACAGCTTACAACTTGACCCAAGTCCCTTGAGGACACATTCCCATGGTTTTTTCTGGAGGGACTTGCTGCACCTTATGTCAGATTTTCTGGCCTGAGCATGCTGCCACTTTTCCAGTGGAAAACTATGTCTTGCTCCCAGTGGGTCCCCGCACATCTATACATAATCGGGAGATTTTGACAGCTGAAAGCCCCAATCCTTGGGGCATTTCTTTCAATATTAAGTTCTCATACTCTACAGTAGTAGTACTACTGTAGTTGACACCCATGAGGTACATATCCCCTCTTTGAGAGAATATCCCATCACCCACACCCTCTCTCTCATGTTTTTTTGTTTATCTTTTATTGCTTGAATTTGAACTGAGTTTTTTTTTTTTTTCAGACTGTAAGTGTTGTAGCACGAGTACGTAATGTGACACATTACTCACCACGTCACTACATGACAGGCCAAGTCACACCCCAAGGAAAGTCATGACAGAAGACTTTCCCTGGCCAAGACTTTCCTTAGCCTGTTGACTTTCCTCGACTTTGACCATATGTTGTATTTACATAATTATTGTATATAAATACAACCTTTCTCCACAGTTTTTTTTTCATTCATTCCTTTCCATCCTATTGCAATCCATTCATCAGTTTTCCCTTCACGTGTCACTACCTCAATAGTAAGTATATATATATATATATATATATATATATATATAACATGTCAGAATAATCTACGGCTAAGCATTGCATTTTATATTTCCACAATAATCCAAGTATAATCCATTTTTTTTTTCTGAGACTCAAAACTGATGGTGTTAATTCATAGGTTATGGAATTTGTGTGATTTATAGTGGAGGACTTCCTGTCAGATCTGGGACCCTCACAGATGTCAATTTAGACCCAAAAAGTCTAGAATTTTGCTGGGAAATCTAGCTTTCAAGGCCTCTAAATCGCTTCTGGGAGACCCACAGATTTGACGGGAAGTCGTCCAGTGCCCAAGAGGTGCTGGTGAGGGGAAGGTTGAAAGTAAAGGCTTTGACTGTTTTGACCAGATCTTCTCACAGGACAATCATTTTCTTTCATCTTTATATATATATATATATACTAGTATATGCCCCCAAATTTGGGGAGGCGGTTTGTTTTTGCCCCGGATGTTGGGGATTTTACTTGTTTGAAGGTCCTATGGTGTTTCTTTTTTTTCTTTTCTTTTTTTTACATATGATTGTAAAGTCTTATGTCGGAAATGACATTGAAATGTGCAACATCGACGCCGGCGTTAGAAGCCGCATGAGAAATTCATACAAAGGCTGACAGTTTGTTTGGCCCTCTGATGCCATTTTTTTAGTTATATGTAGATATATATATATATATATATATATATATATATATTATTTTCAATCTGTACAAAGTGCATAGTAAGAAAACCAATCAACTTCAAGATCTTTTCTCAATTAGTTCATTACATATAACTTATCAACACAGGGCTAGTCTTGCATCCCTTCAACAACCCTTAATGAACATCATTTCTACATAATCTGGATTGGCATTGATTGGAGAGGAGATGGCAGTCAAGTTTTTTTTTTGATCTTTTATTTTATTCAGAAAATAAAATAAAAAGAAAAGCTACAAAAGATGAGAATAGTAAGTAGAAGGAGGGGGGGGAGTATTCAATCAATGGCCAATAAAAAAACAGTGTTGCAAGTGGTTATAAATTACTATCAGAGTTTTGAGCGAGTTGATTGAATTGTTCTTGATTTTGTTGGAGATTTGCGGTCCTAGTCCACAATTTGTCCTTGAAGACTAGCTTGATCACTTCATGTAAGGAATTCACATATTGGACCTCCACCAAGTCCTTGAGGTTCTTCAAGTTCTCATCCGACTCGATATCTTTCGCGTTCTTGGCCGGGATGAGAATTTGCTTGATCCCAGACCTACTTGCTGCTAAAACCTAAACACACATCATGTTTTTTTATAGAAAAGTTAACAAATTTGATACTTGCAAGACTAACAAACGTATAAAGGGAAGAGATCCAAACCTTTTCTCTAATTCCACCCACCGGTAGAATTTGACCACGGAGCGAGATCTCACCGGTGACAGCTAAATTGTTATCGATAGCTAGATTGGAGAACAAAGAGACGAGGGCCAAGACCAATCCGACGCCAGCGGAAGGCCCATCCTTTTTGATCGAACCGGAGGGGAAGTGGATATGTAAATCCAAGGTGTCGATTTTAGTCAAGTTTAAATTCATCAAGTTTGAATTGGATTTGATCCAACTGATGGCCAATTCGGCCGATTCTTTGATCACCTCGCCCAACGAGCCTGTCAATTTCAACCCCCCTTTTCCCGGATAGCTGGTTGCTTCGATGTACAGGATCGAGCCATTTCCGCTACCTTGGTATGCCATTCCGATGGCTACTCCTGGCTTCAATTCGACGTCTGAAATTTCCGCCTCATCTGAAAAAAAAAACGACCACGCCCATCAGCTTTTGTTCTTCTCGCGACTTGAGGGATGAAGTCATACTCAATCTTACTCACAATGTTCAGGTCCCAAAATTCTGCGGACATCATCCATGTGTATCTTGGCTTGGAATTGATCGAGGTGATCTTGTTCTGACTTGGTTTTATCAAGAACATCGGATTGATCACGATCTTGGATGAATTCCAAGACTTTAGCCCGACAGAGGCTACCGATTTCTCTTTCCAAGTTTCGGACACCGGATTCACTTGTATAACTCAAGATGATCTTCTTCAAGACTTGTTCATCGTCCAAGATGAATTGATGGGGTTGTAGACTGTAATTTTTGATTTGTTTGGGGATCAAGTTTCTTCTGGCGATATTGATTTTCTCATCCAAGGAGTACCCATCGACTTGGATGGTCTCGAGTCGATCCAATAGTGGTGGGGAGATGGTTGAAGTTGAATTAGCAGTCGCTAGAAATAAAACGGATGAAAGGTCGATGGGTGTATTGATGTAATGATCAACAAAGGTCGAGTTTTGTTCAGGATCCAATACTTCCAAGAGTGCTGAGGCTGGATCACCGTTGATACTTCGACTGCCGACTTTATCAATCTCATCTCTATATTATAGTAGTACGATTTATTCCAAAAACAAATGGGGGGGTTAGGCTTAAATTTCGATGATGTGTGAAGGTATAGAGACTTACAGTAGGATCACCGGGTCATTGACACCGACTCGTCTCAAAGCTTGAACAATCGTACCAGGCATAGATCCAATATAAGTTCGGCGATGACCCCTGATCTCTGATTCATCCTTGACCCCACCCAGACTGATCCGATAGAATTGTTTATTGAGAGCCTTTGCAATGCTCCTGGCTATAGAGGTCTTACCTACCCCTGGAGGCCCGACCAATAAGAGGATCGGGGCAGGTTTCTTTCCATCTTTACCTTTCAGAGTTGGGCCGGGAAGTCTGTGTGTGTTATCAGCCGGAGCGTTGGGTCGATCGGGTGGGACAAGGAAAGTAGGATCCAATGTATCCTTCCAAAGTCGGCTGATTTGGAATTCATTGGACGGCTGAGGTTGAGTGGATGAACTACTGGGAGAGGAAGAAGTTGTGGATGGATCGGTATTGGAAGCGACGAATTGTTGATTTGCTGCGCGGGTTTCGAGATCGGCACGAAGTTTGATGACAGCCAAGAACTCGATCAAACGTTGTTTGACTTTGAGCATACCGAAATGGTCGAGATCTAGTTGGACGCGAGCCTTTTGGAGGAAACCTTTGGCGAGTAGGGCCTGATTGGTCAAGGTGATGGTACTCTTTGACCAGGGAAGCTCCAACATGATCTCGAGATAGTTCTTGATGACGCTATGTTCGACCGAGCTGGGTTGGATCGATCGTAATCGCTTGAGTTCCTTGGAGCAGATTTGGAAGGCTTCCTGGTTCATTCCAGAGGACTGAAGCTTCTTGTCGAGTTCTTTGAGCTCATCGTCTTCCGCGTCAAGCTCGGCAAATGGATTACCTGGACCAAAGATGGTCGAGCTGCGAGGCGGGCCCAAGCTGATTGGACGCGAGAAGGGGCGTGAGGATGATGATCTGGTGTAGGGAGTACGGAGTGGGAGTGATGATCTATGGATTGGATGATGTTGGAAGGCTTGGTTGGATGGGTGAGTTTGATAGAGCTGATTGAGTTGTTCGACAGCGATGATGAATTGAGTGCTGATTGCCTTCAGTCGAGAGCGTATCAAGAGTTCCTTCTGTTGAGGGGTGAGGTTGTCGGGCTGCTCGGAGGGTTTGGAGGCGATCTGAGTGGGTGGATGATCAGGGATGGTAGGGGTAGTGCGAGGAAGGTGGTGGTTGGAGGTGGACTGGGTGTTGAAGGCTTGGATCTGATTGGAGATTGTTGAGATGAGGATGATGAATTTGTCGACGCTTGAGTGGAGAGTTGAAGTAGCTGAGGAAGTCTAGTTTATCT